TATGTTGAATAGAGGATATGTGAGAAAAAAAGAGAACATTTAGTTAATTTTCATAGATAGTTACATCTATTGTTAGTGTTCAAAGAGAAGTAATTGAACTAAATAAATTAGATTGACAATTATCGAATGAGAATTCTGTTTAAAATAATGAGAATAGACGACGCATTTAACATTAGAGAATAATGATTTTGAAAATTTCGTTGCTTAGCAGACATTATGATTCTAATCTCTTTTCTCATTTTGGATTTTTTTCTTAGTAAATTGCTATTGTAATGGTTTGAATTTTTCTAAGTTTGACGATATAATGGGGAAAAAGGCAGGAAAAAATGGAATATGTAACCGAATAAGAAAAGAAATCAAGCAAATGACAAATGTCTATTGAGACATTGTTTTGGTTCATGTAAAAAGAGTTGGATTAAAAAGTATAACAAAAATGATTCTATTGTAAAAGAAAAAAAAGAAAAAGGAAAATCTATGTATATCTTTGTTTACAGATGTGCAACGGAAAAACGCCTGACAATTCTGAAGTATTTGTTGAATTTTTTTCTTCTTTTGATGTTATCGTGATATGCTGATAGTTGTAATTATAACTAATCGTACCCGAAGTCAAAACTCATTTATCATTTTCACGGGTAGCGTTGTTCGTCTTCACAAACAACACCTGAAGCTGTCAAAGAAGAGGAAAAAAAATCTGTAAAAATTGGAAAATAGATATGTGTGTGTGTCAGAGATATTAATAGGCAATGCGACAATACACATATAAGAAAAAACCTGTTATCAAAGTCGTTTGTATTATTGCATGCGATGCTACTTTTTCAATTCTTCTTCTTCTTCTTCTCTTTTCCTCTTCTGCTAAACTACAGCATACACGAAATTTATTTTCTCCCTTTGGTCATATCTATAGTAAGTTAATTTAAACTTTGAAACACATTTGCAATATGTAAACACGCAAGAGCAAGTTTCAGTATAATTAACGAATATTTATGAATGTATCGTAAAGTCAACGGTAGGTATGATGAGATTCATCATTACATTTAACGGCTTAATAAGTCTTGTCAAAAAATTGAAAGTTGTTGTGAACATATCCCCATTAAAATTCACTCTAGCTGATGAATTGAAGTATCATAAAAGTAAGAAGTCAAGACGGTTCGAAATCGAGTTAACTTTTTTTGGTGGTCCTTTTTCAATCAATAATGAGAATAATCTTTGTACGTTAAAACTTGCGATGCAGAAAAACCTCAGAATAAAACTAGAAATTTAGTGCAAATTCAACTTAGGCGAAAGTCGATTGTTCTTCGATATGTACGTTCATTCTTTAAACTTAAAATCAATTCTATTCTCTACGACATATGCAAAAGTCTGCTTTTCGACTAGTTTTTCGACTAATAATTGTATTTTAACCATATAATTATTAGTAAGTTAATTAAATAATGATTTATAAAAAATAATATAAATATAATCTTCCGGAGAACATCATTTTTTCCCCGCCTTCTTGTGACACTGATTTGCGTTATTATATCCGTCAGTTTGTGTACAGGGACAGATAGCACATCAGTGGTGTCGTTGAATGAAATGAACGTCTCTGTTTCATAATAATTATGATATGACGCGGTATAGAAGAGAGAGCAAGAATTCACTTTGTATCAAAATACAAAAAATTTACGACTTTCTTTCTCATTTTCTTATACATATATTTTAGGAAATAATATTGTCTCGATTAAGTATGCTTCAACAACTACCATACATAAATGGTTTTTTTTCTTTTTTTTTTTGGAAAAGAGAAAAAGAAGCCGATTGTTTTGTTCTAATCTTAATGTTGAAAACGCTACTTTTTTTTACTTCAATACATTAAGACGATTAAATAATATAAGATTTTATTCAGAGCGGCCTATATCCTTTCTAACTAATGCGCAAGAAAAGGTGTTTTTTTTATAAAAAGAAATCGAGTCGTTATCTGCTTGAAATATTTCATTTCGTGTGGGAGCTAAAGACTATAGAGTCATTGTAGAAAGTACTTATAACGAGGGTTTCTTAATGTCAATAAGTGTACTTTAGTCGAAAACTGCGAAAGCGACAAAAAGACGTAATATGTCATGAGACAGTCGAGAACATAGGCTGTTGAACAATTATTTGTTTTTCAACAACTCCTCGTATTTTGTTTTGTCAATAATTATTAATGCAGAACGGATTTTTTTTTCTCTGGGGTATGCACTATTTCGTCTGATCTTTGAATAACTAGATTCTAAAAAGACTGACACTATATATCTTGTAGGGCACATTTATATCTCGGTAAAATATGTTCTACAAGATATATTAGTTTCTTATAACACTGTTTTTTGCTAGCTTCTTATAATATAATCTTACAGGATTTTATTACAAGATCCTGTAAGATAACACGAATTCTTTTAACTTCTTTGATGTAAGATTCTGTTATATCAGTCTATAAGAAGTGACAAGCTCTTGCAGAGTCATACGCGTTAGAATCATTTACGTTATTATAAATTCTTATCAATATATCTTATAAGATAAGCAATACAAGATCAGGGGTCTATCGTATCACATAAATTTTGCTACAAGATATGCTAGATATGTTGGGAGAAAATAGGAAATTAGAGAATCTACATATTCACTAGCATATACAGAAAAAGTATGACAGACTATTGTATGAATCCGGTAAAATATCAATTTAAAAGCCTAAAGGCTTTTAATTAAGGTTTAGTATAGTATGCAAGCGAACGATAAGATAATAATGAGTAAAAAAGTAACATTTCGTTACTAGTCTAGTTTCAATCTGCTCAAATTCGACTGTGATGTTTATGTTTTCGTCATTCGCATCTCCTAACGTAGACAAATTTATTAAAAGTCTATTCAAAATTCACGTTTTACGAGATTCACATAATAGTTTTTCATACTTTTTCTGTATATCATAGTGAATATGTAGATTCTTTAATTATCTATTTTCTCTACAACATATCTCGCATATCTCATAAGTTTATTAGATGGAATATCCTTCAACCTGATATATTAGATGAACATAAAATCAAATCTATGGGTAAAAATGTTATTAAGGTTCTCTCTATCCTGAAGATACTACAAAGTAGAAAGAAAAACGATCGTGAAAGACCACTTGTATGACCTTAATAGATAAATTCTTATAAGGTCTCTCATGGACGGTTATAAAAGTTTTTACCGCAAGATCATGTGAGCTTTTATGTTAATTAGTGGTATACACACTACAATACTTTTACTATTTGTTTTGTTATTGAAATAAAATAAGAAAAACAACAAACTCAAAATCTTTCAGGTACAATCATATGCCTTCGGTTTCTCTTACAGTCTTTTCAAATGTTCAATAAGATACTAATAGTAAATCTATATCAGATTTCATTAGCCATTCTTGAAGATACGTTACTTGAATCGATACTAAAATTCGACTATTGTCTCTCTAAAAAAACAAGGTATACTTAAAATTATTGTATCTTTATGTTTTTGAACACAGGAAATAGAAAAAATACGAAAGAAAAAACATGATAAAAGTGTTTTTGTTTGCATTAAATAATGCAGACTATTATTTGCAAGAAACATTGTTTATAATTAACTACACTGCTTCTTGTAAGCGAACGTGATGTGATACATTCTGTTTCAACTCGAAAAAAGAACAGAACAGTGATCTTTTCAAAAGTTTGTGTTTGATTCTTTTTTTTGAAGTTCTTCATTCTTTCACAAAAACGATGAAGAACATTTTTCAACTGATTGTATGCATAGATAGATGAAAATGTAGTGTTTAGAAAGTAGTACATTATTATTTTTGATACGGGTCAGAAAAGAAACGCGTGTTTTTCACACTACAATAGGACGTTTTAGATATAGACCAAATACAGAAAAACAGTATGATGCCTGAACTGATGACATTTCGTCTACATGCTCAAGAGGGCACATATCCAGCTGTCCGACACCGTTCGACTCTATATTATGAATGCGAGTAGGTCTCTATGAGACTAAGAGAAACCTAAAAGAGTTCTCAAATTACGGAAATTCAACATCGAGTTTTGCCGATAGATACATTTAATGGCCGTTAGAATATCCTGAAAGTTTCAGCCAAAATGAATGTGTTTTTCTCGAGATATTGAATTGTCATGTGAACTCAATTTCTTGGACCGTCTGTGGGAAGCAACTATTTTTTGAAAATTCAATATCTCGAGAAAAGAATATTCATTTTAGCCGAAACTTTCAGGATATTCAAAGGGTCATTAAATCTATCTATGGGTAAAATTCGAGGTTGAAATTCCGTAATTTGGTTTTTCGTTAAATACCCAGGAACGGGTCGAAAAATCAGTAAAACGGTCATAACTCTTGATCAATAGGCCATGGGGACGAACCCTTTTAGGTTTCTCTCAGTCTCATAGAGATCTATCCGTAGCCATAATATGGAATCGAACGGCGTCAGACAATTGAATATGTTTTCTCGTCAGTCTAAGTAGATATTTTTTATTAGTGTCAAGGAAAAGTAATCTACTTAACTAAAGCAGTCTTGTTAAATGGTCGGCAACTGTTATTCTTCGGGAAATAAATAAATTTATTGAGCAATTAAAGTGTAGATACCTTCGTGACATAAAATAACTTCAAATTTTCTAATAAAATTAAGATTTTCTTTCTATAGTAGATATAAAGTAAATAAAAAAAGATTATGTTACAAATTAGAGAGATGTAACAATTCATCACATGAATTCTTGTTTTTCACTTTAAAAAGAGGGTTTGGACTCAACTGAGATACAATTCATATTTTAATCAAATATCTCGGTTGAGATACCAATATTTCTGCAAAAATATTCATTTCTCAACTGCGATACATTTTATAAAATATGGACTTCACCAATTTCTTAACTGAGATACATTGGAGTGAGAGTGAAAAAATGAAGCATCCTGTCCAAAGAACGAACGACTATCGGAGGAATTATTCCCACATTACACGGTTAAGTAGTTGATAATTTCTACCAAGAATGCGTTTTGTGAATGATGAAACTGATGTACAAGTATATTAATAACTTTCATGGCATTTTATATACAACTACTTCAGATAGCCATCCGCTCATTAGACACGATACTTCATTTTTTCACTTACTCTTTTAATTACAAGAAAACATGCAGTCAATACTTTTTATTCTAAAAATAAAATATTAACTCTCGATTTTTTTTTCTTTTTTTAACTTTTGATATTACTAAGCTATAACTCAATGAGGTAATTGTATGATGTAATTTATTTTTTGATAAATTTATTTTTGTATTACGATCTCATTTTTTATTAAAAAAAAATCTTCCTATGGGCTATAATATTTATATATGTATGTCTGTCTGTATGTGTGTGTGTGTGTGTGTGTGTGTGTGTGTGTGTATGTGCGTGTGAGTGAGTGTATATGTTCATGAAAAAAAGACTTAATTCTATAAGAATAATTTAGTTTTTTATTTCAAACTGATAAAATCTCGATTTCTTTCTCCTTAAAACTCCATCCTTTGTTTAAATGGAATTAAAAAAAAGAAGTAATTGCATGTATTTAAAAATGCTAATGCTAAAGCACAAACCATGTGTGTCGATTTGTTGAATTATCCGCATACTCCTTGTCAATTAAAAAAGAAAGAGAGAGACAGAGAGACAGAGAAACAAAGGGAGACAGACATAGAGAGAGAGAGAGAGAGAAAGAAATTGTTCAGCCTCGAATAAAGAAGTTTCATTCACGCTCTTTCTCTTTTTGTATATGCATGTCTGTCGATAAAAAAAAACAAAAAAAAAAACATCATCTCATAAAAAACACACACGCACTAATTTAAACAAATAGAATAGTTGAATGAATTTGATGTTTTTGACCGTGTATTAATTATCAAATGAATAAAAGTTGGAAAAGTAAGTAAAAAAAATAAAAAATTGGAAAAAAAAACTAAGAAAATTTTTCAAAATACTTTAATAGAATACTTGATCAAAGATATTTTTACAATGATTTACATAATAATGACAATTGCTTTACTAAAATTGATATAATTAATCAATCTAGAAAACTAGTAGCTTCTTAATTTCTTAATATTTTTTTTAACATATAAGTCTAAATTTATCTATTTTTACTTCTAATTAATATTAAATATCTAATGATAAAATTTTAAATTTTTTTTTTTTATTTTTAAAAATTTTATCTAAAAATATTTTGTTTTATTTTTAAATATATTTTATTATATTTTTTAGTGTATATAATTTTAATATTTAATTTATGTTAATTTTTATTAATGAATAATATGTGTGTCTGTATATATCTATACTCGCATAAGGGAAAAAACAACGTATCCATGATGATTTTAAAACTAATCCATAATCGGAAGTTGTTTTCTTCCTTATCCAATTTACACACATATATAGTCAGTCTATCATCCTGAGAATTTTATTTTAACACTACATAATATAGAGAAGACGAAGAAGAAGAATAAGAATAAGAAGAAGAAGAAAAAAATCTATCAAGCGAAATATATTATAGTATTTAGATTATTATGAAATATTTTTGTTTACACAAAGTTTTAATGGAAATTTTTGTCTGACAAATTTCTTACATATACGAAATATATCTATAGAATATTCTTGTCTCATATAATTCAAAAAAAAATATTATGTTTTCTTTTCTTTTTTTTTATTGATAGAAAGTATTGATTTTTTATTTTTTATTTTTTTGTTTGTTCTTGTTCTAGAATATGGTATAAATAATGATTGGAAATAATTATTCAATATGAATTTAACAACAACAACAATAATTTCTTCATCATCTTCTTCTTCTGATAATGATAATCCAAATTATTATCCTTCTAATGGATGTATGTCTATAATAAATATCATTATTCAAGGTACAATTGCTCCATTAATTATTATTATTTCAACAATATTAAATTCATTAATAGCTGTTGTTCTATTACAACGACAATTACGTTCACCAACAAATATTCTTTTATTAGCCATTGCTTTATATGATACATTAACAGGATTATTTCCATTTCCAGTATTATTATATGTTTATACATTTCGTCATTGTGATGATTATCCACCATTTAATTATTGTTGGTTTCATCGAATTAATCATGATATTTTACCATTTATCTTTCATACATGCTCAATATGGATTACAGTGGCATTAGCTATACAACGTTATATCTATGTTTGTCATTCAGAAAAAGCCAAACAATATTGTACATTAACTATGGCATTAAAAGCTATTGCTTGTATTAATTTATTTGCATTAATTTTAACAATACCCATGTTTTTAGAGGGTACATTTACATCAAAAGAAGTTAAATCAAAAAAATTTGATAAAATATTTCAAGCCTGTATTGTTTTTGATCGTTCACAAGATCCAAAATATAAAATATTTTTTTCATTTTATTCTTTATTTCGAGCACTTATTGTCAATGTTGGTCCTTGTACAGTTTTGGTCATATTTAATGCTATATTAATCGTAAGAATGAAAAAAGCCAAACAACATCGTGAAAAATTAATACGACGTCGATCTTATGAAACACGTACACAAGAGCAAACAAGTGTTACACTTATGCTAGTAAGTTAAATTTTTTAAAATAATAAAAATAATTCATAATATTTTATTTTTTGTTTTTATTTTATTTTTTTTAAGATTATTGTTGTTACTCTATTTTTATTAGTTGAAATACCGAATGCTATTCAGATAATTCTTACTGCCATACTTGATTTTGTACCTATACAGGGTCACGATCGTTTATCTCTAGCAGCACAAATTTTAAATTTTTGTGTTTTATTATCGTATCCTATTAATTTTTTTATTTATTGTCGAATGTCACGTGCATTTCGTGATGCATTCAAAAAATTATTATATCCTTCTTGGTCCGATAGTGATAATACACAATTGGTTCCACTTGGTCATAATGGAGGTGGACCGGGTGGTAGTATTGCACCACCTTCACCAAATATTAATTCATATAAAAATGTAAAATATGGAACAAATGATAATGCCAATCATGAACAACATACTTCAGTCAGACATGCACATTTTCTATCAGATGAAAATGATATTGATACAAATAATTCGATTCATCCAAAATCTTCAACTGTGATATATTATGATCAAAATAAAAAATCATCAACACCAAAACATCGTGTACTATTTAGTGATGAAGTAAATGATGAAAAGCCAATATTAGTAACGAATTATAAAAAAGGAATCGAATTTACAGATTTATAAATCTTTTTGTTGTCTATCTACTTATTTATTTTATTTTATTTTTTAAATAAGTCTTATTGTAAGCGATAAAAAAAGAAATTGTAAAAAAATAGAACAGTTTAATTACTATTGCTCATACAAACAATGAGCTTCTTCTTTCAATGAGCTATAAACAAACTTAAATTTCTTAAATTATAGTGTAAATATAAGTTAAATCGTGTTATTTTTCAAGAAAAAGTGATCATCTTATGGAACAGTGATTCTCATGTACGCTTCAAGTTCCATGATGATCTATCCAAAATAATTTTCAAACTTTGATTAGATGGAAAGAATCATCATACAACAGAAATCTATCTATCTTGTCAATAATGTAATAGTTTTAGTAGAGAAAAAATAACTATATGTTCTGTTTAAATTTCTTATAAAAGAATGATAACGTCCGTTTGGGGAAATTGTTCACTATCATTATCAGGAAACTGTATTTATTGTAGCTGAATGATCCATTTTAATTTATTTTATTATAATTATGAGGTATGTATTTTGAGAATTGAAAATTATTGAAAAATCATCATTATCAGGCTCGTAACCACGGGGAATGTCGATTGTGTCAAGGTACATTCCTTGGGATTTTGCTTCGCTGTAAACTCCGATTAAAGAAAAATTTTCATGATGGCTTGTAACCTGTGTACACAGAGTAATTGTCAAATTCTGACGCTGTGAGTAATGATATGCATAGCTCACCTTCAAACCGGTGTACAGACCCTTTTGTGTCCTGCTAGTTTTCTGGACCGATCTCTACCGTATAGACGGGTGTATCGGAATCTGAACCGATACAATAAAAATAAACAAAATGGAAGAAAACCGATGTATCGATTTACATCTATAGTGCTCCCCCCCCTAGCAAAATCCTCGGCTACGGACCGGATCATTATGTGAAATGTTTGGTACGTATCAGAGTATTTTTGCTATACTGACAAAATCTTTTTTTGACTACTTTTGTTGAAAATTATTACAGTGCACGGGAAGCACTTTCTAGTGAAGACACTGAAAATAAAATAACTTGCAATATTAGAGAATTGAAACAAGATGATTGTTCATAAACAAAGATATACATTCATTCGTTTTCTATTAAACTGTTAATAAAATTTTTTTTCTTCTAATTATAAAAACATTACAAAAACAAGTTCAAACACATGTTTTCTCTTTTATCGTTATGGATAATAATCAAATATAAAAGAATAGATAACTGACAAGAAAAAATAATGAAAATAAATATGATTAATGTAGAATATTTTTACAAAACTTAGTCATGAATATCATGAAAGAGAAGAAAAATATTAACAATTCTAGCTTTAAAAAGAAAAAATATCTAATGTAATAAAACTATAAAAGTCTATTTCGACAACTTGTTGTGCCACATTGACATTTTAATATTCTATCTTCAACTGAGCCTACTTCATATTGATAATCCCAACATAATTCTGTACCAGCTTTTATATTTGTTGATGTAAAAAAGGCTACCCATGGAAAACGAACATCATATGTTTCAATAAAGACATTTTGAACAAAAACATTTGGTGAACAACTATGATTAAAGAATCGTGATACATTTCCTTTTAAATTAGCATCCATAATATAAATATCAGAATCAGTGATTATATGTGACTGTAATAAATCATGAATATCGATGGACTTTTCACTTGTTGTTATTGTCTTGCATGTTTCACTGCCATCAGAAGCAACGATAGGATTCGTCTGTATTTCGTTGTCCGATGATGTCATATTTACACTTGTAGTTGTTGACGCAGCTAGTACATGATCTGAAAAGAATACGAGATATGTTAAAGTTAAACAACTGTTTGAAACACACTTGCTGACTTTTTCCTTTCTTCTTCAAAACTCACCGCTTCCATTAATCATACTTAATTTATTCAATTGCGGTGGATGAAGTGCATTAACAAAGTCAAGTGCTGTAAAATAAATATCATTTAATTCGATTCCACGTTTATTTGCATCATCATCATTTAATATTTCACCAGCATAAAAACTCAAAAATGTTCCCATTGGTAGATCATATAATGTTCGAACACCCCATCCTTTCTCGTGTGTACGATAGATTTGTAATAACGTATTCAAACCATATTGAACACAACGATTTGTACAACGATAATCGCATTTACATTTTTCATTACATTCAAATATTCCTATAACAAATACAATAATTTGAGTAATAAATAAAAGTTTTAGTTAACCCTTTACCCTCAGAGGGTTTTTTTCGAAGATCCAGAAAAGGTGATTGCTAAAGTGGAGCTTTTGAGTGCACATATGCCCATTCCATACTTAAAATAAAATGAAGTTGCCTAGGTGACAGAATATAGAACGTCCGCAACAACATGAAAAACGCAATTTTTTTCGTTGTGTTGTCCGAACTTGCTCTGTCAAAATTCAACATTTTGAAAAACAACGTCATATTCGGAATCAGAATCAAAAAGTGGATCGAATGACATAGGTCTCAGTGTTTTGGGAAATATTTTGAGTTTGAGTGAAAATTTTGGTTTTGGCTTTTTGAAAAAACTGAAAAACTTCGAGGTCATTCAAAACTCCTGGCACCCATGTCATTCGACTCAGTTCTTGACCCTGAATCTGAATATGACTTTGTTTTTGTCAAAATGTTGAATTTTGATCGAGAAAAGGACAAAGTACAGGTCCTATTTCACAGTTTTTCACACTGAATTCATAATAATTGAATTTTTCGACCGCCAAATAAAATTTTTCAAAATCGGTACATTCTTCTTTTCTCAAAAGTATATAAGTGAGAATGAAGTATGAAAGAGAATTTTGTCTTCCAAATCCTAGGACTAGATAGGCTTGCAAGTTTAGCTAGAGGACCTTTTACTATCCTGCTGGTCTTCAACGGTTCTCGAGGTCAATTTGCGTTTTAAAATTTCCAAAATCCGTTTTCTAGACCGAGTTTTTGATGGAGAGTAAGAAAAAAATTATTTTAGAATTTTAAAAATAGAATGAATGGTTGAATTTTATTCAAAATTTTGCCTATTTTCACCTATTTTTGAAAAATCGATATTTAAATTTTTTTTAACTGAAAAAATGTGTTCCGAAATTGAGAGATTAAGTTTTTTCTGTGCAATTCAATGTGCTCTTCAAATCAATGTGCTTCTCAAATTTCTTTTCTTGTGTAATTGTAGAAAGTATCCTTGTAGCAATAGTTATCTACCATTATATCTAAAATCCTTGTATTGCTAAATCTATGAAAAAAGCTTTTAAAAAAAATTGAAAAATTTGAAACTCTTTAATTTCAGAAGTTAATTATCTCAGTCAAGATCCATAGAAAAAATTTATTTTTTACGAATCGAGAGCTTATGAAGTCTCTAAGATTGGAACAAAATTGGGTTCTGATATGACGCTGCGTTATTTTTGTATATCGATTTTATCAATGTCCACGGGTGTGGACATCCGGCGATAAAGGGTTAGCTAAAAATAAACTAACTTTACCTGAGTGAATTTTATCTAATAATCTTCCATGTTTATAGCCTAAATTTTGTTTTGATAATTGTTTATACAAAAATATTTTCATATTTTCTTCATCATTCTCATCATTGTCATTAATAATTTTATTCTTCATAAATAACTCTTTCAGGTTTGTAATTAAATCTTCATAATAATAAGATTTAATAATAGAATTGAATGTTCGTTGCCAACATGCACATTTATCAGTTTCCAAACAACCATCTGTACATGTACATCCTTCTATATAATCTTTTAATTCATTTATGGGTATTTCATCTTTTGATGATATTCTTGTACAAATATAGTCAAATTTTGTTGGTAATTCATTATTAATTTCATTTACTAATGATAAAGGTAATTTTTCTAATTCATTCGAATAATCCATGATATCTATAACATAAAATATAAAGTAAAATAATCGAACAAAAGTTGTTTTAAGTAACTACAATAAGTTATAGATCCGTCTTTTATTTCTATAGTATTTCATCTGATTTACCGATAATAGGTGGATTAAGTAAGTTATATTTTTGTGTTGCTCGACAGTCCATTTCAAATGAAAATAAATTCATTGTTAAGCATGAATTGATTTGTATCAGATATAAATGTAAACGTTCTCGATCTGTAAATGGTTGTCCACACGGTGATATATAAACAATTGTGCCTAAATCATTTCGTACTTGCCGTTTCCAACCATAGTTTAATGGAATCATTAAAAAATTACATTTTCGCGTTATTGATAAACCTTTTTCACAAGAATTTGTACACCGATGTTCTTGTTGTTGTTCTAAATCAATTGCAAAGCGTTTAGAAGTTGGTTCATCATCATTTACTGATGTTGTTAATAAATTAAATAATGGTTGTAAACGCAAAGAGCCTCGATACAACCACTCTAGTTCATTCAATGATGGAATGTATACACGAATTAATGTACAATCACATTTAGATACAATTGCTTCTAACCATTGACCATTATGTTCAATTGTTATATGAGATTTGACTCCAATATCTTCAATATAAAAAGAAAAAGCGACTGAAATGAGTACAAATGAGAAAAGTCTCAAAGTTCAAATAAAGTTACCAACTTTATTGTTTTTCAGTTGCAAAAATATACTTTAGATCATGTTTACCTATAAGACGACGTTTCGGATAGGTTAAAACATAATTTTCTATATATTGTTTTGTTCCTTGATCAACTTTTGATAGATAATTTGATAGAGGTTCTAATAATAAACGAATCGAATGACATTGAATGTAATATGGTTCACCAATATCAACAAATATCAAAAAGCGATTTGAATTTGATTCGGTTGCTAATTCAGCGATCATGCCACGTTGAGGTTTTTCAATTTTTTTACATGATAAACCAATATGTGAACTATTTGACGGTATACACAATATACGTGAGCCAACATTCAATTGATGTTCAGCAATACGATCAGCGATGGCAACATTGTGAGGTGAATAACGTAAATGTTCGCCAGATGTTTGTGAATGAGAGCAATGTGCAAGACGACAAGTCTGAAATGACAGAGAATATAAGGAAATAAAACAGCTAGTCTAGAGATAAATTTACATTATCACACCTGCACTGTGTAACGCTAAAAATGTTATTCATTCGTGTGAATCTTTAATAGACATATAAGTAAACTCATTTAGGATGATCCATTTGAAAAGTTGATAACATTTAATTGAGCCACGAAGAATAAAATTTGACTATGCAAAACAGTCGAAGGTATTTCCAACTGATGCTTGCTATCTTTTGCAATAGATTTTACTAATAATAAACTGAAAAACTCATTTGCTGCTTACCACAATTTGTAAATTTGTTTCTGTTATTATTACTTTGACAAAATATGCCACGGTCCATAAACGATGTGGACTGTAAACAAACAAACGTTGTCCGACATCAACAGCTACCGGCATCTTTTTTGTGTGTGGAATCCTTCTCACAATAAAAAAGATGATGAATTCGATAAGTATAGAACGATAAAAAACATAATGAAAATTTTAACTAGAGAAGAAGTAAGGAACAACATATCAGATCTAAAATTAAAAATAATACAATAGACGAAAATTTGTAGCATGAAACTATAGCTAATTCTATTACACTTGAAACAGCAGATGAGCAACCTTACCTTTTGGTACGAACCTGTAGGAAAGAAACTTTATACGTGACGTAGCATTGAATGCTGTGATTGTTGCGCCTCTCAAAAAAGGGAAAAGTTTTCATTAAATAGGAACCAGTTAATCAAAAGATAGAGCCAGCAATAATGCTAAAATCAACGAGTAAAATTGACCAGGATGAGCAGAGTAGAGTGTAAGGCTTCTGACACATCGGAGCTTCAAGGAAAGAACGAGCAACCAATTATGTGTGACACAGAGAAGAGCTACAATTTTTTTTTTGTTATACTAGCTTTGCTGACAGTAGATCTTCCGAGATATACAGAACAAAACAAGTAAAGGAGCTTTTTTACATTCATTTATTTTATATTTTCTGATACGTCTTTTGTTCTGCTTCGATTGGTCTCTAGATTGTCCACTGCTGTATTAGAGAGGATAAACTGTAATACACTGTAAATTTAAAAAAAAGGTCCGTGGCTTTTTCATCTACTGTTCGCTGAATCACATTCAAAAGTTCGTTGCATCATTGAGTAAGGGTCGTGAAGTATGTAACATCGGCTTTTCAACGCGGAAAGTCTGTCTGTCAGCTTCGTGAAATTATGGCTTCATTACAGCTTCATTTACTAATTGTTCGTTAAGAATTGAAAGCATCATAGAATTTTCCATTTTGCTCTAAAACGCAAGGTGGATGTACAGCTACTTTTTTCCGAAGACAGTCTTCAACCTACTGTCTACAATCTCAGTTCTATAAATCAACTCCATTCAGTTATATTATGTTTTTAGGATATGAACAAAACAGAAACAAGATCTAAGATATTTGTTTCAAATAAAAATAAGAATAACAGACATCTAACCAGACCTAATGAGCAAAGTAAAGCTCTACCGAATGTACTTGTGTCCAAGTACTTCGCCTGTGTAATGAAGCCGGTACTTGGCTTTTTGTTTCATGTGCAAATTTATTTATACGTATTTGTCCAAGCGCTTGGCCACACAATGCAAGTGATTTACTTGAAAAACTTCAGCCACGTACTTGTTCTATTTGTTTGTCTACAGCTATAATCTACTTTTGTAGAGCAGACGCATGCATGAATACTAAGTTTGTTCAACTCAGTAGAAATATCAAAATTTATTTTCTAAGTTTATACTGATTGATGTTGTGATGTTTCTATACAACTGGTGAATACAAAAGAAAAGAGTGATTGACTTATCCATGTACTTGAGTGAAACGAATCAAGTGACAATACTTAGTGAGTACTTAGATAACAAATTGAGAATTAAAACACTTGCAAGTTCTTGTTCAAGTACTTACTACGTACTCGACAAGTAATCAAGTACATTCATTAGGAAGAGAATACTGTATAAGAGAATAGATTCATAGGTTTGATATCTTTCTGTCGAAAATCTTAATTTATTCTTTGCATATTACCACTTTAGCAGACAAGTATTAAAAGAAACTAGTTTAAAACAAATTTTATTTTTTTCCGATTGAGAAAGATGTACCGGTGATACGTGTCATAATGCGGAAGTAAAACACACTATATACAGGAATAAGAGAAAAACTGAGAATCTTGGTAAAAACTCTATTTTCACATGTATCATCAATCATTAGAAACACTGATGTGCTCGTCAGCTCACATAATGTAATTTCACTATTTTTTCTTCTAGATAATGAATCTTGATGCGTATCCACAGATGTCGGAAGTAACCGCTATAGAACCCACGTTGAATAGTTCGTTTTCTATTGAAGAACCATCGATGAACAAAAAGAGCGAAGCTTTAACACCGTTACAGGGTGAAAATGATAAGATAAAAGATACAGATAATACTATTCGACCACAGACATGTTTTCTTTGTCAAGAATCTCTCCGTGATAGATCACCAAAATTATTAGCATGTTTACATTCCGTTTGTGAAAACTGTTTACCATCACTGCGCGAACCGCTTGGTATGTATCAAAGCATTTTGTTTTTGCACTCAATGGCTCGTAAGGAGTCATAAATAACTTGCTCGTATTCTTAGTCTTCTAAAATAGTACGTTAGTATTTGTCTCATTAAAAAAAATCACTCTTTGTATTCTGTTCGGTTGATTTGATTATTTTTTTATTTTATTAGGTAGTACATACAAATGTTCAATTTGTCATTATACAAATCGATCAGATATGATATGCGATAATTTATATTTAACAAATGATGAAGACAGCGACAATGGACAATCACAAATTGAACAAACCATTAATGATGTACCTCGTGTAAAACGGACGTGTCACAATTGTGAAGAAGGAAATATTAGTGACTGGTATAGATGTTTTAGTTTATTGACCTTTCTTCTGATAATCTTAGCACTTCTGTTTTACTCTAGGTACTGCAATAATTGTCATGATTGGCTTTGTGAAGAATGTAAAAATGCTCATTCGCGTGTTCGTTTAACAAAAGATCATATTGTCATTCAGAAAGGTTTTGATCAGGCAACTCGACATGATAAATTAATATATTGTTCGGTATTCTATTTTTTCTTATAATGAAAATATATTAAGAAAAATCTTTTGACATTTTAGATTCATAAACAAGAATTGATCCGTTTCTATTGTGAAGATTGTAATTTATTGATTTGCCATGATTGTCAGCTAGAACAACACACAGATCATCGATATATGTTTATTGATACGGCCGTTCATTCACAACGTAAAAATTTACGATCATTAATGAGTAAAGTTAGAGAATGTCGAACAATGTTAGACAGATGTCAGATTGCAACGGCTCAACGTGGTCAAGTTATTGATACTGCTGAAGTGCAAGTATATGGAAAAAACAGTTAAGATACGTATTTCATTATCATATTATTGTTTTGTTTAAGGTAATTAATGATATTAAAGTGTTTGGTATGCATATTATATCTGAAGTGAGCAATGTATGTAAAGAGTTGATTAACGATATGAATGCTATATGCGAAAAGGCACGAATTCAATGTTCAGAAAAGTAAGGTACAGTTACGCAAAGTATACTGAGTGATCCAAGTACCTATATAGTGAATATCTAGTTTTGTTTCAGACAAAATCGTCTTGATCAATTTATTCAAAATGTTGATCATTCGCTTGAATTTACAGATGAAGCAGTGAATACAGGTAAATAACTTACTGAGTTTTCACTACATATCACTGACATAGTTCGATATGTTGAGTAATTTTAGGCAATAAAATTGCCTTATTATCTTCAATACGTTCGATATCCAATCGTCTTAATGATATACTGAATGATAGTTATAGATGGTCAAAGTCTTCAAATCAATTTCAGTTATCATTTCAATTCGAACCAGACCGATTTCGACCAGTAATCTCAAAATTAGGTATTTTGTTCGTAAATGGAAAACCAGTCACTAAAGCACATCAACAAAAACCAGATTTAATTATAAAAAATAGCCGAGAAATATTAAATCAAACCAACCATAAAGGTAAAGTTAATAATTCACTCATCTTAGATTAAAAAAGAAATTTATGCTATTTCAGAACACAAAATGATAAACAATGATAGTACATTGGATGAACATAATCAGATATCCGATTCAGAAAACGTCGATAATAGTCGTATGGCTATCAGAAGAAATGATCAACATAGAATGCAGTCCGAGTAAGGAATTATAAAGCGTTGTGTAGTATATTATCTTTTTTCTGGTAACTGTTTATTTTATCTAGATTGCCAAAGATTCAAACGAATTATCAAAATACAAGTAGTAATCCCACGGTATATTAGTTTAGAACTAGAAATGACAGATGCTAGAAGAATACTCTAATATTTTTTCAGACATACGTAGACTTTCATCAGAGCCAAGAACAAACAACAAATGGGCAACAAGTACATAACAGATATACGATGTTTTATTCCATTATAGTAAAATATTGTCAATTCTAGGATCAAAAATCATCTCTTATCGAACAAGTAGAGCAACAAAATACACTAGTTGCTGAACAACAACAACAGCAGCAACAAGTTCTAGATACAAGTGATGGTAAAGATTAATATTACTACTCTTTAACATATATAAATACATGTTCACTTGTATTGTTTAGATTTCTGTGCAGTCTGTCGAACAGGTGGAGATCTTCTCTGCTGTGACATTTGTCCGAGAGTGTACGTATTGTAACAGTGGATATTGACTAATAGCTACAATTATCAAATGAACAATATTAATGTACTAGGAAACATTCACTATGTGTTGTATATGGAAAGAAGAAAGAATAGACTCGGATGTTTCTTGAATAACGTTTAACAGAAAAGTGGTAGAGGCTTGATGTCTTCATCTTGAGGAAGCCAAGACCTGAGTGCATCTTTTCATCATGAAAGTCATTTTGAAAATCTTCCTTCAGAGTGGGTTTTTCAGAGGATCTTTAGAACATCCTCATGTTATTACTAAAAAACTTTTAATAAAATATCTTTTTGTTTGCATGGGTAGGTAGTCTAAAATGTCCTCTTCAAAATGGGAGTCAAATAAGATCTTAATTTTTAGCGGTTCGTTCGTGGTATTGGACTTCACTGAAGTCCCAAATTTACATATCACATAAAAAACATTAGAATGAACTTAAAACTGCAGGGTACGGCTAAATTTATTTGGTAAATGTGATTATGTCATCGAAAAAGTCATTTTTATTCTAACGTTTGTCAGAAATCCTTTCGTAAAACTATCGAGTTTTGTAAACTTGTTTTTCTAGATTTCTCTTAAGTATGATATAGAATAGCATAAATACTCTACATTCTGAAGTTTTGAGTTCGTTCTGATGTTTTTTGAGTGATATATAATTTTTTTAATATTAAGTGGAAATAACCTGGAAAGTCCACTTTTTATAAAACTCAGTTTTCACCAGATTTTGGGATTCTTTCCTAAAAACAAACATTGTCACGAGATTCAGCATGATCGATTACGTATATTCCATGCGATCTCAAGATCACTTCAAGTCACAGATGGGACTCTAGTGAAGTCCGATACCACGAACGAACCGCTAAAATTAAGGTCTTGTTTGACTCCCATTTTGAAGAGGACATTTTAGACTACCTACCCATGCAAACAAAAAGATATTTTATTAAAAGTTTTTTAGTAATAACATGAGGATGTTCTAAAGATCCTCTGAAAAACCCACTCTGAAAGAAGATTTTCAAAATGACTTTCATGATGAAAAGATGCGCTCAGGTCTTGGCTTCCGAAGACTTCTTGGTAGGACGAAGTCATCAAGCCTCTACCACTTTTCTGTTAAACGTTATTCAAGAAACATCGGAGTCTATTCTTTTTTCTTTCCAGACATAGGATAGTAATCTAGTGTTTCTCGGCCTCGTCTATGGCTTGAAACTATAATTCTAGATAATTAGAAGTCTTAACGAACTGGTTTAAGTTTTTGCCCAGCCTTTCTTTCTCAGATAAATTTGGATTGTTTTTAGATATCATATCGACTGTCATGTGCCACCACTTGATGTTTTACCGAATGGTGAATTTAAATGTGGTATTTGCACAGAAATTGTACCTGATGAGCAACAATCGACAAATGACTCATCCGAAAATATTGATGAGACGAAACAGTTAACATTGAAACGAAAGCATGAAAATGGCAATGAACTCACACCTCATGAACATCAAATATGTGAAAAAATTCTTTTACAGTTGTATATTCATGATGGAAGTTCTCCATTCCAAGAACCAGTACCATCAACTATACCTGAATATTATCATATAATAACAAGACCGATGGATTTTCGAACAATAAGAGAAAAACTTTGCTCTATTTATAAGTCTTATTCATCAATTCATGAATTTATTGCTGATATTCAACTTATATTTCAAAATTGTGCCACATTCAACCTCGTGAGTATCAATCGGTATGGTATAAAAAAGTTGTAAATTAACTTTTTAAATTTCTAGCCTGATTCTCCAATAGCAAAAGTAGGTTTAGCGTTACAAAAATACTTCGAAAATTTATTGGAAAAATATTTAAACACGAGTTCTGCATTAAATCGAAGTATGCCAGATAATGATTCATCGTCCGTTAGACAACCGCGTACACACCAATCTAATCAAGTATATCAAGTGAAACATAAACGAAAAAAAGCCCCAGAAGAAATTGTACATTATATTAATTGAATCGGTACGTTTGCAATAAAAATGTGGGCTTCACTTTCTTTATCACCTGCTTTTTTGCTGTTGTGCTTAGTATATTTGCAATAGTTAATTATGTACTCTTTCAGTCGTCTTATGATAATTCGTGAATTCTTTGTCTAATTCATTCCGAGTTCGTATTACTCATGTTATGTTGGCTAATTTTTTTGCTTATTCGTCTTTTCCGAGATTTTTGATTGATTTTTTACGTCATTGACACTCTTTTTAGTATCTGCATATGAGGTACAGTTGTTTGTCTACTGTTGTACGTAATTTCATATGGAAATATATCATGCCATGCTATTTTTAGATTTTTTTCTTGAAAGAGATGCCTAGTTATTTGTTAACATCTTAGTTTTTTGTCTAATAAATGTTATTAATCTCATGCATGGATAGAAATATCATCTTTTATTTTAATAAACATAAATGAAGATCTGTAAAATATACAGAATAAATTTTAGAAGAATTAGAGTCAGTAGCATTTCGGTACTAAACTATAGAACTACCTTAACAAATAGACGTCCAGAACTACGTCTGTTATTAGTGAATTATCATCATCGAAACATCAATGCTTATTTAAGATATATTCATATGATATAAAATGTAAAAATGGATCATGTAACAATTTTCCATGTTGTACATAACATTGTAATCATATCTAACGAGAGAGCCTGATCAATTGATCAATCACTTTTTTCAGACGTGATCTAGATGTTTAAGTTACTGTAGCCATGGTCAACACATGTTTATAGTTTATAAAGTTGGCGTTATAGATGCAATAAATTTATAATATAATATAAATATATCGGTTCTTCTCTACGGTTAGACACAGTTCAGACTGTTCTCTTTAAAAGAGTCATCATTCTTGGGATGTGATCACGATAGTACCTTTTAGATGTAGAAATGAGAAATGAAGAGCTTTTTCAGCTGTTTTAAAAAAACAAACATTGTGATGGATTTCAGGATGCTCGATCACCTATGTTTCAGTCGGCGCCAACAGATACAAATCCTAGAACGCGCAGAAAATGCGATACCATCCCTAAACTAAACTATGAAAGATAAAAACTTCGCTTGACTATCATTTCAAGCAGGATAGTCTGGACTATTTAACTATAAAGGAGAATGATTTTTGAATTCCTCTTTTTATGAAAAGGTGTCCTGTCGTGGCTATCGAATGACGAAAACGGCGGACCTTCATCTCTTTCCAGTCAAAAGCTATTCAGAGTATATTCAAATGTCTTTATATTTTGAAGTCGACAGCAGAACAGAAAACTGCATGAATCTGTCCATAAACTATGGGTCGTTCAATTCAATATAGCACCTATTTAACAAACATCACTATCGTTGATGTTCAAGTATTGAAACCAGAATTTAGCGATGCTGATCGAAAACATGAACACTGACATGTGCGTACGGTTGATGATTATTTAGAACGATTCGCATATTAATGAAAGATCAAGAATGATTGTCGTATATATTGGATTTGAATAATAATTGGCAAATTATAGAAATTACATGATGTTAAAGAGAATAGTGGTTTATCCAATCACTATTATGGATATTATCACTTTGTCATGGAACAAACAATTCCATAGAGAATTTGTTTTCATTTCTTGGAGACAAGATCTTGTCTCAAGAAAAATCAATTTCTCCCTAGTGAAAGTTCTTGATATCAAGAGAGCAAGATGTTGGGATATTCTTGCCTCCAAGAACTTATCCTTTCCTGGATGCAAGAACTATCATCAGGAACTTGTTCCAAAACGTATAGAATGAGATTTTTTGATCCAAAAAATAAGGTAAGAAATTTTCTTTTTTGTCCAAGAAGTACAGAAAGCACCAGAATAATACTATCTCACTCAAGAAAGATACTTCTTGTTTTCTTTTTGAGACAAGAAATGTAACAAGTATTTTCTTGAGTTTCCTGATCCAATATCTCGCGTTAAGAAAGCAAGAAACGTTCCTTGCCTAATAAAGTATCTTATTATACATTTCTGAAAATAAGATGAGTGAACAAAATGCTTATAACTCCGGAACCAAAAGACCTGGAGAACTGCGGTTTTCGCATTGGAAAGAGCCGCTCGTGGGACGTTGATCCATGTAAAAAGTAAATTTTTCCGAAGAGGTTTTCTTGGTAGACCTCATCCGGTAAAACCCGTAGTACCTCAAAATTAGTCGACAAAAAGAATTTCTTTTTTCAAGCGGGTTATAGATTATTGGCTATTCTGATTCCGAATATCACCATGCCAGCTACCCTTAAGTTTTCCGAGAGCGATTTTATGGAAAACCAGTTTTTCGGAAACTCTAAAAAATAACCAAAAGCTTTTCTTAATGAGTTAGGATTGTAGCTCATAAATTTCTGATTAAAATGAGATATGTCCCAGCTCTAAACGATATTTCTTTGCAAAGTTATAGAATTTACACGAAAAGCCCTAAATGTTCGTTGGCGGCTCAAAGCTACAGAAATAAGGAAAAAACTAATTTTTGTAAATCCGATAACTTTGCAAAGAAAGGTCATGTAGAGCTAGGAGATATCTCATTTTAATCAGAAATTTATGGGCTGCAATCCTAACTCATTAAGAAAAGGTTTTAGTTATTTTTTAGAGTTTCCGAAAAACTGGTTTTCCATAAAACTGTTCTCGGAAAATCTAAGGGTAGCTGGCATGGTGATATTCGGAATCAGAATAGCCAATAATCTATAACCCGCTTGAAAAAAGAAATTCTTTTTGTCGACTAATTTTGAGGTACTACGGGTTTTACCGGATGAGGTCTATCAGGAAAACCTCTTCGGAAAAATTTACTTTTTACATGGATCAACGTCCCACGAGCGGCTCTTTCCAATGCGAAAACCGCAGTTCTCCAGGTCTTTTGGTTCCGGAGTTATAAGCGTTTTGTTCACTCATCTTATTTTCAGAAATGTATAATAGTTTCTTGGTTTTTTTCTTGGATCAAGAAGTTACACTAGAGAATCAAATGAAAGAAAATCTTGCTAAGTGATTAAACGATTTTTACATTAAACAAAAATTGGTTCTATCAATTCGGACACGTTGCCAAAGCAGACGAAAATTTTTCAGTGACTTTATCTGTAGCCCCAAAAGTTTTGAGTATCGTCTCTGGAAAAAAGGAGGTGGTGGCGGGCTAGTTCACTGTTGACTAGTCAATTCAATTTTTGTTCGGAAACTGACTAGTTGTCAAGTAGCACACGGACAAACCAAAGACTAGTCAGTATCTAGAGTCACTTTTAGCACTGAGACTATTTAAACTTGAAGCTGAAAGCATTTTTAACTAAACTAGTTCCTTTACCCGTTGGACGATCGTAATGTGATCTTCATAAGTTTTCTACAAAGAACAGAGCCTGAGAATTAAACTTTTGATTTATCTCGTATGCTGCGATTGTGATTGTAGTGGAGATGTTAAACTTGGCTTCTTATTCGGAAATACTCCGTCAGTTACTGACAATATGACGGCAAGAGAAAATCGTGATTGAATGAGGTCATCCACCAGTACTTGTTGGCAATTTTTATTGATGTGAGATGAAGTTCCAGTCAAATCGGTTTTCTTAGGTTAGCGGATGAAAAAGTTTGAAATCATGCACTATGATGAGACGCGTTTGTGGTTTTTCATTGTCAACGACTTTCCTTTAAATAATTAAATTTTAATTGTTTTGTCATTCATCAAGATGCTTGAACTTCGACTCTATTATGCGTTGTTCCTATTCTATACTTGATTTCAAGAAGATTTATTTTACTTCTAGATTGAATTAGACGAGTTAATTATAATTAACCGAGATTGAATTATTTTCGTTTACAGATACATCAACTGAGATGGAAACTTATACAAAGTGATTGCTTCTAAAGTCGGAGATGTGTATAAAATTAATATGAATGTTTTCGACCGTTTTTGTGATTGTTAGTGAGTCTTTAATAATGTTGAATTGTTTTCTTACTGTTATTATAGCCACTTTCGCTTCTGTCTTCTTCGCCTTTTTCCTCTTCAAAATTCGATGCCAAAGCTCTTTTTCCTGAGGATCTATTATTTGTTTGTGTTACTATTTGCGTATGAAATTGTTTGATAATCACTTTCATTTTTTCCTCTTCTTCTTCTGTTCCTGGAATAAATTTTGATATCAAATCAACATGAATCATATTCAAACCGACAACACGTTTTGGAATAATTGTATTGATTATTGTACTCCATACTTGATCATTGATATCATCGTTAATAGGCAATTCTTGTAAACACATTTTTCGCGGATTCACATTATTAATTGTAATTGGAATAATGGTTGACACTTGAAATGGTGCCAGGACAATTATTGGTAGCAAATCACCATTTGTATAAGATAGAATAGTCACACTACAGTGGGGAGCTAAATTACCAAATCTTAACCTATCCCATCGTCCACCAGACATTAGATAAGTGACAATACCACTAATCAGATTTCCATGGGAAAAAACGATATGATGTTTCGGCGGTTTATCGCTATTTGTTGATGAAAAAAATAAACGTTTTATTTTGTACCATCGTCGTTTGATTCGACTAATTGAACGTACCTAAGATAGAAAAAAAGATAGAGGAAAAAAACTGTTTAGTACGCTTACCTCACTCCAGCATGCAACACGACTATAACAATTTTCAAATGATTCAGTTAACCGTTGTAATTCATTTAGACGGCGTCCGGTAATTAAGCCAGTCTCATAGCTTCGTTTATATCCTGAGTGTTCTACATATGTGAATGATAGACGTTGATTTTGATCACCATTCTTCGTTTCAATAGTTTTAGCTAAACTATTGATTAAATCAGCACAATAAAATGACTGTTGGCGACCCAGCTCAATTAGTCCATCGTCTTCGGAACATGTTGTCAGATAGATACCATGTCGAACAAGAAAGAAATATTGAGGTTCTTTTAATGATGACGAGAAAGTCGATGATGGCAATGAAATCGATCCATAATTAAATGAATTTTTTTCGCTTGAAAAGTTATCGCATGAATCAAATATGACTAAATGATTATTTAAGTCTATACTACCGCTGCCACCATGCTGACATAGGCACGAATTCGTGAATTGAGAACAAGTCACACAAGTCAATTTTTTAGCTATTTTCGAATCAATTGCTGTTGGTAACTAGATGAAGACAGGCAAATACCACTCATAGATAAAACAGATATATAAAGAGAGAATAACTGACGACGGTATACACACTAATAAATAGATATGATCAATAAATAATATATTATTTTCAAACCATAGTTACTTTCTTAGTTACGTTTAACTTTTTCGAATGTGGAAGACTGTTTTGAAAGTGTCATTATAATGCTCCGTTAAGAGTATTGAGAATTAAATTTAAAGGCATTGAAAGGCACTTAAAAGATATCATTGCGTCATGCGTTTTTTCATATAGGTGCTAAAACGTAGAATTGAGAAATTCGGCAATCATTTCAGCACGTTTTGGGTTAAAACGGGTTAGAGCGCATTTTTTTAGTTTCGCGTTTTGATGAAACAACTCACATAGAAAATATGACAAGGGGTACTGTTTCAAAGTAAATGGAGCATTAAAATCCAGTTCATCGATCAAGTAAAAATTTCTTTTGGACAGCGAAAATTTTTTATAAGCTTAGATTTAAAAGAAAGAAGGAAAGCAAGATTTGAATTGAAATTATTCCAGCACGTTTGCCAAACCATTTTTGATGAAAAAAGAATCGATAACTGCCCAACAAAGTGCTTACAATTCTTTTTGCCATTTTCGATAGTTGAACAGAAACTGTTTTGGTTTCATGAGACGTGTTGTTTTCCTAGAGTTATAAAACGATGGATGCGCGGTGTTAGATGAAACTTCTGCGTCAGACATATAGTGCGAATAAAAAATGCCTGATAAGGTGTCGTGATGATTAAAAAATGTATTGGCATAATTTAGTTATTCGAGATGCATTTTTAATTATTTTTATATGTTAAACTAGCAGGTCTCGGGCAAAACTGCACGGGATGACTTTTAAGTATTTCAAGTTTTCAGTAATACATTGTATTGACCATTTTGAACTCAAAATACCAAAGTAGACTTTGTTCGATTGTGAATAATAAGGTAGCAAAGTATAATAATTTACTGAAAATGATAAGTTAGACACTTAAAGTACTTTGTAATGCAAATAATTTGGTTGACTACTTCCTTCCCTACACAGACTTCCAAAATTTTCTAGAAAATTCATGAAAGCCCACATTGTCTGTGGCGCTCTTTATATCATTCACATTGATTGTCGTGCTCTCTGTTGATCGTGCTGCCACCTATCCATTTTCTGAGTTTCACGTTGAATGCGGCACCGTATACCATAAAAGCGTACCGAACTGACAGACATAGAGGATTAGTACATAGATGTCAATTAGGCGTCTGTATGTCTTGGATTATTACCTCTTGGTTATTGTATTTTGGGGTGTAATGACTCAATTAGACATCATTAATCCAGCAATTAGTTGCGAGACACTAGTTACTACTAAGATGTACAGTCACCTCTAACTTATCATTTAGATCTGTAATTATATTCAAGTCACACACCGACACACTAGACAGACACTTTCATATATTTGTGTGCAACTAAAAGACATGTTAAGAGAGATAGGAAAAGTAATATGTGTACATTCTCTGAAAGGGAGATGGGCAGGTACGAGTCATATTTTTGACTTGGGTTCGAACTTGGACTTGAGGCGAAAGACTCGATAAACTCGTTTAGTCTTTTTTAGTTTATTATACCTTTACCTGTCAGTGTCGGGTGAAGATCAAAAAAGTACGTGCATTGCACAAATTGTGATCCTTTTCGTTAGTCAGAAAGATTTAAAGCCCTGTAAAGTTTACAGTGTAAACAGATGACTATCGGCAGCCCAGGGACGTCTCCCACCGTTCCAAAGCAGCGCGATGGGCTCCCGTGAGTGTCAAAGACACCCTCGATAAACTGACTGGAATCACTTTTTCTTTTGGATTATTATGACGGTGTTTATTATATTTGCTATATACCAGAAGAGAAAGACAGATTTGAGAATATATTCTCAAATCTGTCTTTCTCTTCTTTTCATGTGACGCGATGTTTTACTTAGAATATATTCCAAGTAAAACTTTTTTTTAGGTCGATTTCATCATTTATTTCATTCATTTTAGATGTATTTTGTTTTGTATGTACTTACAATAGCACAGTTGCGATACAGTAACATTATTTAGCATCAGTAATAGCTTGTTCACTTTTTATCTGTTTCAGATGAAAGTTTGGACGTCCTAGTGGATGTACTTGATGCAAGTACTTGATTACTTGTCGAGTACGTAGTAAGTACTTGAACAAGAACTTGCAAGTGTTTTAATTCTCAATTTGTTATCTAAGTACTCACTAAGTATTGTCACTTGATTCGTTTCACTCAAGTACATGGATAAGTCAATCACTCTTTTCTTTTGTATTCACCAGTTGTATAGAAACATCACAACATCAATCAGTATAAACTTAGAAAATAAATTTTGATATTTCTACTGAGTTGAACAAACTTAGTATTTATGCATGCGTCTGCTCTACAAAAGTAGATTATAGCTGTAGACAAACAAATAGAACAAGTACGTGGCTGAAGTTTTTCAAGTAAATCACTTGCGATCAGCTTTATTAGTACCAACCAGTTGTTGACAACTATAAACACACCTAAACAAACGACAAGTGACCACCCTTTATGACTTCGTAGTTAAATCTTCGTCAAGGTTCGTGACTTTTTTCCTTCATTAGTAATAAATTCGGCCGGTCGCTGGAATAACAAATGATTCAAAAATAACCGTAACTTGAAATTATTTCTGTAGTAGGGTACGAACATTTTTATGATTCGCTTTTTCATCACACTTTCTTTTCTCTATCATAGGCGAATATTTTGAGAGAAATAAAATGAGAAAAGATTCATTTTTCTCATTATCATATTGAACTGTGTGTTCTATCAAAGATCATTTATAACGCACATTTTTGTTATCTGTAGATCTGTTCCTCAGAAAAATATCCACGTGTATAGAGGATCAATAATGTCTTTTTTCTTCTCTATTCTATTGTACAATATTCGTCCAGTTTATGTGGCAATGAAAATGAGCCAGAGAATTTTTTTTCATTACACGTGTTTTCAAAAATATAACAACAAGTTTATATACGAGGAATCTTCTTTTATTACTACAATTTTACCTCAAAACAGTTCATACACACACACATACCCCACCACTCTTGCTCTTTTAAGAGAAACAAAATGTATGCACACATTGCTAATCCGTTCAAGGTAAGCAAAGGTAATTCCAGTTTCTTTTTCTTATTCAACAAGAAGGAGTAAGAGCAAATGTTCAAAACTCGGTTTATAGTTTTGTTCAAGTTTTGGAAAGTGGGAAGACTGATTTTTGCAGAAAGCAGTAGAAGTTCCTGTCATATTTAGACTTGCTCTTATTCATATCAATTCAGTCGAGAAATTTTAAAAGGTATGTTCGGCCAAAACTGATTGCAGATTCGGAGTCTCCATAGTCGGTTATCTTGTACGCAACAATTTATACGTTAACGGCAGGGCAGGACTTTCACAATAAAAATCAGCAACAAGTTTTGAATCGAGGTACTCTAGAAAAGTTTCTCAGTCTCATTCAGGCATTGGTCCCCTCCAGGAGCTTCGTAAAAAATTCTTTTGAAAAACAATGGGGAAAATTTTTTCTGAAATCCCTCGGTCCAAAACTTGTTGCGTACAGGGTAATCGACTATGCAGAGTCCGAATCTGCGTTCAGTTCTGATCGAATACGCTTTTAAAATTTCTCGACTGAATTGATATATTTGGAGTAAAGAACGAGAATCATGCGGGTTTTCAAGAAAAATAATACACAAAAGACTCCTTCAAAAGAAAGCACTATTTTTAATCAAGTTTCATGGGTAATAGTAGGCAGAAGATAGGTGATGATAAAACTACGAAAAGTAAAAGTCGGTATCTAATTGAATCTTTCTATTTTTTCTAGAAATTAAGCATTAATGCTCATTATTCTACTCCATCACGTTCACTGCAACAACAAAGTTCACCAACAATGGCACAAATCTGTAAATTATTTGTTGGTAATTTGGCAACACAAACAACCAGTTTACAATTACAAACAATATTTCATCAATATGGTCAAGTAATTGAATGTGTTAAAGTGCGTGAACGATATGGATTTGTACGTTTTAATACGGCAGATGAGGCAAGAGAAGCATTAAAAGCATGCAACGGTATGTGCTTACACGGGTATAAAATGATGGTCGAATATGCACAAAATGAAATATTAATAAGTCCATTATCACCCGCATCCAAAAGTGCGAGAACAAATGGTGGTGGTGGAAGAACAATACATGTAGCACAGGTAAGAAATATAAGACAAACAATCGAGTTGTGGTTGAAAGTTTTGCTTCAACTTTTAATTCCTAGGATACAAAATTAACTACACCCATTTCAATCATAACAAATCGAGCTCGTTATTCTTCAATGAATAAATGTGATGATGTGCCATTATTAATAACACCATCAGGAACAACAGCAACAACAACAACAACAGTAACAACGGCAATAGCAAGAGGAAGTGATTCAAAATATCTTTTATCAACATTAAATCCTGAAGCATCTTCGTTTATAACATCCGACTACTGTTCATCTGGTAAGTCGAATAAGATACACTATGTTAAATGCACTGAAATAATTTCTCTAATATTTATAGGTTCATCAACAAAATCATTTTCGGTTCGTTCATCATCACCGTCAATCTTATCAGAAATTCCATCACCATCAACATTAATAATGTCACCAATAAAATCAATAGATTCAAACATTGGTTTATTAACAACAACAGTAGACCCAACAAATCAAAATGAAAAACGTAAGAAAAAGTATTTTGAATCCAGTAGGTTTGCCGCTCGCATATAGATCATTGGTGATAGTAGAATGATTTGTGTTTCCATAATCATAATAAGAAAATTTGAAATGAGTTTGACCTTAGTTTTCTAGAAACATTTAACTAGACTGTTCTTTAAAAAACTAGTTTGAACTACTATCTATTTCAAAATAGAATGGACTCGGTTGCTTTTTGAATAACCCAGGAACGTTACTAGCTAGCGAGTTCGAGTCTTCGCCGTCGAATTAACGACATCCGGGGACATCCAGGCATGTAGCAATCATCTGGCATGCCAAGCCTTTGAGGGATTTCCAGAAGGTCTCTGGAAAACCACCCTCGCGCGAGTTAGAAATTTTGATTTTTCTGAGTGGGTATGGTTTGCCATACTGTTCTCTACAAAACTATACAAGGCTGAGCTCGCTAGTTTGTTCCATTCAGGAGCGATAAGCATTTTGCCGCGAGCCCGATTTCGACCAGTTGATCTTGGATCGCTCTAAAATGAATCAAGATAGGGGTAATCGGCCATGCTGAGTCGTGTAGTGATGTTTATTTTTGGTTTCAAACCGATCTAAAGTCACTGTATCAAGATTTTCAAACTATTCACTCTATACGCAACATAGCGGCAGAATGCATTCTGGAATTACAAAATCTTGATACAGTGACTTTAGATCGGTTTGAAACCAAAAATAAACATCACCACACGACTCAACATGGCCGATTACCCCTATCTTGATTCATTTTAGGGCGATATATGGAAACCTACTGCAAAATGTTCTGATTGTCAACGAAGCGCTAGAAAGAATTTTTTTTAATTTTTAATTATGTACTTTTAGGTCAAAGTTTTACCTTTATTGGTGATAAAATATTAAGTTTATATGGAGGAAATTGTCTTTATACTGGTAATAATGACGATGGTTATTGTTATGATGGAGAGAGTTGTTCATCATCGCTCGAGTATTATCAAAATGATCATAATAAACTGAAAACATCTACACATAGTTCATCTCAAAAATTAGTATTTGATAATCGTTGTATAGACGCTCGTGATCCAATATTTATATGGAATTTTGCATTGTATCCAGATTGTGCTATTAGTCCATTTATAAAGCGTAGTGATATCAAAGGATTTTTAGAAAAACGTGTTTTATTATATTCACGTTAATATCATTTGTTGTTCATGAAACTACTGTTCGTCTTCTAGACGTATATTCATTTTTCTGTCTTGCTCTCATTCGCATATTCGTCAGATTCTTCTTCTTTCAACTAATATTTTTACCGATATCCTATCATCAGATAAGGTACTAGATATATTACCTTTCTATTTTTGTACTATCTTTAATCGAGACAATTAGTCATATAGCCTTCTACTTGAAGTTTTCTTGCTTGTAGCCCGTCCTAGGAGATTATTTTTTTATATATTTGATGATCATATTTTTTGGTCCTGTTGTATTCAAAGAGAATCCGTCGCAATAATAAATCAATTCTTTTTTTTTTTGTGTTATTTTTCATATTGTTGCGTTGTGTGTGTGTGTGTGTGTGTGTGTGTGTGTGTGAGAACTGTTATTTCTGTCTTTTAAAAACCTCCAAAAACAAAAAATTCTAATATGTAATAATAATTCACTATAGTATGTCCATTTTTTTTTCTTTTTTTCGCCGTGTTGATTATTTCTTTAGAAAGAGAAATAAAGATTTATAGGAATCAGAATTTGTTTTTTGTTCATTCATCATTGATCTGATCTACTTTGTTCATTCATTTATCGATATTTATGCAATTTTTATTTTTTATATTGAAGTTTTGTTTACTCATTAGAGTAAATGGAAAGAACGTTCTAACTTTCAAAAAACAAAAACGTATTTACTGTTATAGTAAATTTGAAGTTAATATTATCTATAGAAATCTTAGTTGGTTGTTATTTATCTAGTTAGAACAATAGAGAATAAGTTAATAATTTTGTTTATTTAATCATTATTGAAATATAATGCGTCGATGTATATTGTGCGAGCATGCACGAATAAAACAAATTAAGGAAAATGTCTCTTTACGTTTTTTTCTTTTCTTTTTTTTTTTTGTTTTACCCATCTTCTTGTCTATCTATCTTTGTCATTAATCGTCGTCGTATATAGCAGAAACTTCCTTCGTCTGGTGTCAGTATAACTGTCATAAATGAAATATAAAGCCGATGAAGTTGACAATCAATTGAATTAATTCAAGTTGAAAGAAGCATAATGATGATATGATATTATATTTTTGTACGTGCACATATAGATAGATACTGACAAGCACATGTATTTATAAAGAGTAAACGCGCGCATGACTTGGCTTTATATTTTTGATTGAGTTTTTTTTTTAGCTTTGAAAAAAAAAATTTTTTTATGTGCAAGCAATCGCTATCTGTCAAATCAATCAATTCAATAACAACAAAAAAGAAAACGAGAGAAAATCCCTGACCATAATATGTCAGTTGATATATATCACCAGTTTATTCTAGCAGAATAATAAAAAAAAAAAAAACAGAGCATATCGAGTACCTTTTATGCTCACATACACTAAGTTTTTAAAACCTTTTTGTTTTTTATTAAGAAAATTGTAGATTAAAAACAATCAGTACAGATCTCAATGAAGAAATGGTGCAAGTTAGTAAATTTTTTGAAAGTCAAAAAAAACAGTGGGCACATCAACTTTTGAAGAAGAACTAGAATTTATAGTGTGATCGATTATTGTTCACATATTTTATTCGTCTTTTTACTGGTATCAAAAGATATGGATCTAGAGGCTTAAAAGTTTTTTTGTTTATAAGTATCAAAAACCACATAGACTATCAAATTGTACGAAAATTGTTTTGTAAAGTATAATATGAAGATGGTAAACGTTCGTTGAGAAAAAAAATAAAATATAAAAAAAACATTAAAAAATCTGAATAATTCACAAAGTGGTATAGGAAGTTTTTTTTATTGATTAAATCTGCCTATATCAGCGATGTATGAAAAAAAAATTTTTTTTTTTTGACGACTGGTAATTCTTCATTTTTTGACATAATTTATAGGAATTTCTCCAATTTCATTGACATTTATTTGTGTGTGTTCTCTTTAAATTTCACGAAAATATATATGTATGTCTCATCGGATATGTATTCTCTTTCCCTTCTGCCTATCAATCTCTCTTCTTTTTTTGTTGAATATCATGCTCAATAGTGTTCTATTGTCAACCCGATGGCACTTTAATGAGTTGTACGAATCGTGATTTATTACTTCAATCTTAATGACGCTCATAAATCAAACAACTGCCTCGATCACACACACACACACATTGAGAGAGCGGGAGAGAGAGAGAGAGAGAGAAAATAGTTAATTTTTTTTTTCTTGATTTGGGGAAGCATTTTTCTTTCACATTGTTGATAAGAGAATGTATAGGGAGACTATCAAACTATAAAAAAAAAAAAAAATCATTTTACTGACGCCATCGTCACATCATTTTAAATATCAGAGAAACAAAAGAAAACAAAAAAAAACATACATCTAAATAGATAGACATTTTTAAGTTCGAATATAAATCAAACGAAATAATTCGAATTGATTGAACTATTTGTTTTCTAAAACTTATTGTTGTTAGTTTTTTCTTTTAAAAAATGAATCGTTTTTATTCTATTTCTCTAGACAATTTGAAATAATAGACCGACCAAAAAGTAAGTAAAAATGTTTTTTATACTATTTGAGAATTTTTTTGTTGTAATCCAATAAATGATGGATAAGTCCCTCTTCTTCATCATAACACTTTAACTGAGAAAATATTTATATTACTGTTCATTACAGTTGATTATCAAATATATACGTCCCTATATTGAATTGAGTATTTATTCTTTCTATGATAAAAAGGATTTTTTAAAAAATAAATTTTTATTATAAATTAAAATATATCGTTAAATTAAAAATTTTATCTTCATATTTTGTTGGATACTATAAACATTGTTTCGATGAATATCAAGTAGTAAATGTAGTTGTTTTTTTACTTTTGTCTAGAAACATCGTCTATGAAATGTATGATCTGAATTTTCTATCCATTGATTTGAGAAAGATGTCAACTAATTTTTTAAAATATGTGAATGAAAATTATGAACTGTTTGTCCTTATTCTATCATTAAGATTTGAAATCTTTTTCTTAGTATATAATACTATAAGAAAAATAAATGGGTGGTGTCTATAGAAATGGACATAAAACAAGAGAAAAACGAAAGAACATTTATTTTGACGATATATAATTCATTTTGATCGAACAGTCTGCTAAGTTTATTCCACATTAATCATTTTACATATATCTCGATTGTGTGTACGTGATCGTTCATAATTGCCCATTCATCTGACGGTGATGAAGTACTATTACCAATACGATGAAAGAAGTCAAAAAAATATATATATTCATAGATACGGTCCACTAGATCACTGAACATTAGCAACACCACTCACACAACTCATATATCATTCGTGTCTTGTTTTATTTTATTTTTCTCTCTCTCTCTCTCTCTCTCTCTCTCTCCCTTTTTCTCTTCTATGATACGATTTTATAGTTAATATGTTCAATGACAATCGTCAAGTCACAAATGTCATCGAAAAAATCAATCAAATTCAAAATCATTTGACAGTTGTTCTAATATCCATTCTTCTTTTCTCTGTTCTCTCGTCGTTGATGACGATGTTGATAGAAATCTATTTTCTTCTTTCTTTATCAATTCCATACATATATATATACACATCATGACAAATATTGTCCTATTAATTCAGATCAGAACGTTTATCAAAATCATCAACAACCAGTATTAACAAGAAGGAGAAAAAAGAAAGTATTAGGAAAAAAAACAACAAAAAACCTGTTATACTGTTGTACAACATCTATCAAGTGAAATAATATTTTTCTTTATTTATAGACTTTACGGAAATTTTTATCAATACAAGTATATAATATCTTTTTCTTTTTTTTTTTTTTTTCTTTTTTTTGTCAAAACTTACATCGTCTGATATAAAATACTTCGAGCAAATAACAGGTTACATATCTTGCAAATTGTGTTTGTTTTTCATAACATGCACATTAAAACGATATTCTCAAAACATTTAGCAAACAAACATTGAATTTTGTATGAACATGAGAAAAAATTGTTGTTTGTATTAAAAAAAAACACTCTTTGATTCAAAAAAAATTCTACGTACTTACAGTATTGAATACGATTTACACATAAGACATTTTTAATCTAAAATAGATCTTCGACAGTCAACGCTCTAAAATTACTAATGATTTTTTATCATAAAAACCATCGAAGACAAGTCTAAATGTGTGTGCGGACGTGTTTCTGAATGATAGATGTATCTTGAATATGTTTGTCTGTTTCTAGCACATTTTGAAACAATAATTTGGTTTATGGCGATGGCAGTTCTGCGATTTGTGTTCTTCATCGAATCAATCCATCAAATAATTTCTTTTTCCTATATGTCAAAATTTTTTTTTTTGTGTGTGTAAGATGTGTTACTGATTCAGTAGTCAAATCAATTGTTCTTATCCACATATATAGAGACTACATAAAACTTGGCTTAAAAACACAAGTAGACATCATTTTACATCGATAAATTTCATTTTTTGAAAAAAAAAATAAAAATAAAAAAAAGAAGGAAAAATATATATTGTTTTAGAATATCACCTGCTCACACATTCATGCGAGTAAGTATTCACAGAAAAATAGTACATTCAAAAAAAAAAAGTACATTCTGAGACGTCTTCTCACCTTTGGGTATGAGTTTGTTTTTATTCCTGTCAAATATATTGTTTTATTCACTAAATTGGTTTTTGTCAAAAATTCTTCTTAAAACTCTAAAATCTTTCGGGGATTTTTTTTTTTTTCTTCAACAATCACCAATATTAACAATAAAAAAGAGTAATGTTATGCCTAACTGTAGTACGTTTAGAGAAAAAAAATTACTACTTGTAATGCTCGATCATGTGTAATATTCTAAATAAGAAACAGAACAGGCATACAAAATACGTTAAAGTTTATAGAATTGGTTAAGACTGCTAGGCAATTAACAAAAAAACATTGACATTTGATTGACAGGAAGAGTTAATCAAACTGACGGCACAGTGCTTCAATGATGAAGCAAAAAGGAAAAAAAAAATTGTTGAGCACAAAGATAATAAGAGTAAAAATGTTGTGTGTGTGTGTGTGTGTGTATAAGAAAATGAGACGCAAAGATTAATGGAGGACACATTAAAAGCGAGAGCGCATGTTTGTAAGTGATACGAAGAGAAAAAAAGAAAATAAACAATTGTACATATTGATGTTCATTAATGACAAGACACAGACAGTTCTGTAGTTCTGAAAATATATAAAGAAAAAAAAAACTTCATATTAAGTAGTTTCGTTTTTATATAATAGCTATGCACAGAATCGTGGTCGTTTCTTTTTCTTTTCTTGAGCGAGATATTTAGATTGATAGGCACCTCATTTTTTCTTTTTCTTCGTTTTTGTTCCACATAGCCTATATAGTCCCATCAATCAAACTCTGATTGTGAGCCTTTTTAATACTAATCATTTACAACATATGTATATTGAACATCTTTCTCTTGTAGCTGACAGCACAAGAGAGACAGAAAAGTGCAAGACGTTTGTTTTATCATGATATGTAGAATTAAAAAAGAAAACGATGAAAATTTTTTCTTGACAAACAAAAAATATAGTAGAAAGCACGATCAAAAACCCATCATATCTTATATTTTATTGCCATTAGAAAGTCAACGTAAGCTGTGTTTTTCATGTTGTTATTGTTTTTGTTTTTTTCTGATAGATTAGAAAACTTATAGTTTTATTCATAGTGTAGATAATTATTTCTTTTTATTACAAAATTTTAGATTAAACAAATACTATAATTTTGATTGACACGATGAGTGAACAAGTTCTCGATTTACGAATTAATAAACGTATACGATCAGATGACGAAGAGAATGAGAACAATAATAGCAAGAAGAAACGAACTACTATCACAACTTCGCAACAATATGATATACCTTTAGATTTATCAAAAAAATCTCGAACAAGTCCAATAAAAAATGATGACCTTCGAACATTATCCTATCCATGGACCATGCCTTATCCGTTACGTTCTTATGATCCATCTTTATTATTTAATCCCATGTTATACGATCTATTTCTTTCAAATATGAACAATTATTGTACTACAGTTCCAACAATTACTACTCCCATTGAAATTCCTACTACTACTCGTCAAGTAACAATGACAACTAAACAACAGCAACAACGGTCATCTTCCACAATTAAAGATACGTCGCCTTCATTGACAAAAGACGTTTTTATCTCAAACGGAAAAGATCGTGAAATATTTGCCTGTTCATGTGGTGAAAAGTATACAACATTGGCAAATTTAGTGAGTCATTTAAAAATAACAAATCATAGTGCTCAATTATCATCAACACATGATGAAGTGGCAAAATTAGTACGTGGTCAAGATATATGGTTATCGAGAGATACTAATCCGGCAAATCAAATCTTAAAATGTTTAAGGTAAATAAGTAGAAGCAAAAAAAATAATTGTTAAATTAAACTAATAATGATTTGGTTTTTATGTTACAGATGTTCTCTTTCATTTGAAACACTACCAGATTTAACCGCTCATATGATGAAAACAAATCATTTTACACAATTAATGCCATACCGTTCGGATCAAACAAAACAATTGAAACAATCTCGATCAACATGTCTCATATGTTCACAGCAATTTTTAAGAGAAGTAGATTTAGGTAGGATAATGTTCAATTTTTTGTCTTTTTTCTCTAAATTAAATGTTTTCTAGTCGATCATATTCAACGTTCTCATCGCATCCGTCATAATTGTACAACATGTGGAATGTATTTTGAAACAGAACAGACGTATAAAGATCATATAGCAAAAGAAATGCATCATCGAAATGGAAAAGCCAGTCGAAATCGTGATTATTTTTTAAATCAATTTAAATTTTTAGAAACATCATTAAATCATCAAACAATATTTTCTGATCAACAATCCCCCTCTCCTCCGGAATATGACGAAAAAATCGATATGAAATCGCCATCATTAGCAGTAAAAATCGAACCATTGCCCGTTGGAAATGAGAAACAAACGTCAATTGATAAAGATATTGAAAAGATTGCCTATGAACTTGTTGAAAATGTTATTTTACCCAAAGTCGAACAACAAGAAAATAAAACATCAAAAGCAAATGCTCTAACATTATTACAAAATTTTGTGACAAAACAAACTGTCGATGATAAACAACAGAATAATAATATTAACAATACTTCAAAACGTTCGAGACAAAAACAATTACAACAATCAAATATGAAAGTAAATGCGTTATTAGCACTCGAACAATTGACACATAATTCGATAGAAAATTTTCAACAACAACAACAACAGCAACATCAACAACGTCTAATAAAAAAGCCACAAAAAGATAATAAAACAGTATCAGTAAACAAAGAGGATGTCAACAATTTAGATGATAAATCATTGACCATTTTACTTCCACCACCACCACTCCTTTCTCCAGCTTCCAGCTCGTCCTCCAGTTCATCACATCCATCTATTGTAACAAAAAATGAGAATGAAAGTCCATTGGCAAGTTTAGAAAAAATGGTTTCGTGTCCTGAAACTACTTCTTCTCGTAGTAGCACTATCAACACGACAACCACAGGAGCAATTGTACATAGTCAATTAGATATAACACCAACAGAAATTATCTCATCATCACAAACACCAATTAAATTAAAAATGATTCCAAAAAAATTTGACAAATATAGAATGTTTGCACAAAAAATGCTTCGTTCATCCACTTAATTTATTTTGTATCATTTTTTTTTTTTTTGCCATCTTCCATAATAAAATTGACCGTTTACAACTTATACCATGAAAAATGCGTTTATTCAACTTTATTCGACTTGAGTGCTGTTGAAATTACTAGACGTTGCCCAAACATTGAAGAATCATCATTTGTTTCTGAAATGATCTCGTCTTCTTCGATTGTAACAAATATTGGTTGTTTTGTCTCAATTCTAGAGAAAAATTGAAATATTTTTCATATAAATATCACACTTTTTTTAATAACACTATGAACATTTAATTTAATTGATGTTCACTCAACACTAGATTTTTATTAATCACCCATGAGAATACTTACGTATTTTTCATTATTGGTTTGCACTTCGCTGACTTATGCGACATGAAAGAATTATCGTCTGGTTTTTCAGTCATCAGGTAAGGTACAATGAATTTTAGATTAAATGGTGATAGGTGATATTCATTATTCTCGGAGTATGCATGCATTTTACATATGAATACTTTTTTCACTGGTTTAAATTTTCGTTTTTCTGTTTGAAATCCATCTTCACATTTTCCATGTAAATTTGATATCATTTTTCGTTTTATTCTTCTTTCTATGACTTCGTTCCAATTATATGCAAGTTTATCGGATGCAATTGAATTTGAATTGAGATGTTTGTTGAATTTCAAATATTTTTCAGATAAATAAATACGACACATTTCATCACGCGATTGCCATCCAACTTGATTACCATGAGATGGATCTAGTAAAGGAATTAGAGTAACATTAATCTTGGGTGAAACATGTGGTAATGAATGCCCACTGGGCTCATTAGATGATTGTTTTAATGAATAAAATGTTCTCTCTTTTTCCTAGAGTGTATTAATATACCTATCTTTTATTTTTTTTAAACCATTGAGTATCTTTTCTTCTCTTACCATCATTTTTTGGGTTTTTTTTGCTGAAGGGTTTGATCTTTTTTTAACTAATTTTATTTTTTTACTTTTTTTGTCAAATTTATTTAATTTTTTAATTCGTTTTTCTCTAATAGGAGCATAGATTAAACCAAATTGAGTTGTATATTCATAATGGGGAATCAATATCATATCTGAAAGATATACAGAAAAGTGAAAGATTATTCACTTAAATACAAACACCAACCAAATTCTTCTGACTCAGCATTGAATATTGCCGTGTCAATGATAGATGCTTTAGACGATTGATGTCTAAGTAATTTTTGTCGAGGCGTTGTTTTTCTCAATAATTTTAATTCTTTGACTGATTGTGGTATTGTTTGCATAGATAATGTTGGACAAGGTATACGAGTTTTAAGATGTGTATAAAAGTTGTCTTGGATGCCTCTTGTATGAAAAAACAAAGAATGTAAGTTCTTCTAGTGACATTTTGGTGTTTTTAATATAAAATCTAACTAACCTTTGATAAAGTTGTAGTAGTTTGTATGATATATGTTTTTCAGGATCATTGTATAAATTTAAATACTCTAACTCATCATTATTTGACGATTGCAATCTATCTGTAATAGATGGTATAATTTCGAGTGGTATATTTGTCTAAATATGAATTTGATTCTAGATAAAGCCTTTTTTCAATTACTCTTATCTATCAGCAGATATGAGCTATAATGTTTTTCACAAAATAGATTGAAAAATGGTTGGGCCCTCTTCTACTTTCCAGAGGCTTCACTTCTAAATGATCGTATTATTGATAAAAGTGTCGATCGTAAAAGACGATATTGACTAGGAAAGTGAGAATCTACTTCCGAATCATAAGTTTACCTTGTCTTCGGATAAGTATTTATCATAAATATAGTGTGCTTTCAATTTAGCTAATTTAAATTCCGGCTGTTTCCAGTCAAAACCCAATGAAGCGAAAGTGTTGAACAATTCTTGATATCTAAAATTATAAATAGTCTTGTAAAATTGTTATTTATTAATATTTATTATAAAATAGACAATTACATTTTGACGTCATCGATAAATTCTAAATCCCAACGTATTCGTTTTGTATCATAATTTAAATCATCTTTATATCGTTTAGAATCTGCTTTTCCAACTATTTCTACCCATTCTATAAATTTTTGTCTTAGAAATGGTGATTGAAGAATTTTGAAAACTCTTTGTACAAATTTAACAGTTTTTTTCCATTTTAGCATGAGCTAGAGAATAAATAGAATCACAGTATCATGTTTTTTATCGAAAACAGATGAAGTTGAAAACGTTTTGTATAGTGTAAACTTTTAATAAATATTTTTAATATTGCGTAAAAATTTGTTTGACCATAAAGAAACTGTACCAGAAATTCTTCTGTTGGTTTTTTAATCGTGAATGATTTTCCATTTCTACCATCGTTCGACGCTCCGTTTTCTTCTGACAATGAGGTACTTGCTCTACTCATCTTTACCACTTTATTTGTACTTCTGGGGGGTGTTTCACAGAAATTCACAGAAGAAGCATACTTAAGTCTCCGTTTTTACTTAATTTAGACTTAAGTCCACGCTTAAGTTAAGACTAGTTTGTACATGTCTTAAGTTTGTCTTAACTCTTGTTGCGGTTATAATATGATATAAAAATTGAAGTATTATAGTAAACAAACAACATTTTTTAACTATTTTTTATTGACACTTGTATTTTGCGAAATAAATAAAAAAAATAATGGCGCTAGTTAATCAGTGGTTGTGGAGAAAGGCGTTATGCCGTGAAAGAATTTTTTTTGACAGACAAAACCCTATGAAAACCATGACAGACGATTTATTGATCGCGCGTTGTCGTTTTCCACGAAAGATCATTTATGAACTACTCGACATTGTTGAACCCCTAATTCGACCAGCAACCGGTTGTAGTAATTCAATATCTGCTTTGATGCAACTGTTAATCGTTTTGCGCTTTTATGCATCCGGATCATTGTTCAACGTTAATGGCGATTTGGATGGATTTTGTTCGGATTGTCGTGCAAATAATGGTTTTCGACAGATTTTTCCATCAACTGGGATACAGATATGGTTGCTCTTGTTCGATCACGGCACCCTGTAAATGAGTAGTAGCTTGTCGAAAATTTAATATCCAGAACATATAGTCGCTAGAGTACTGTTTTTTTTTAAATTTAAAATTATTTATTTCATCTAATTACATGTGTATCAATAAACGTTCTGTAATTTATCCATCACATCATTACGACAATATAAACTAAACAGTGTACTTTAACGGTATGTGCTTTCCTTCTCTGTCTTACACAACATTAAAATAGTTTTGAACTCTGTCCATTTGTAGATACATTAACGTTAGTAAACCATTTATTGTTTCTCTAACAAAAGACGTTTTACCACAAATTGCAGCTGAAGCTTTGACTGCATGTTTGTTTGAATAACTACTTTGTTGATAGATTTAAGCAAGATCCGATAAAACCATTGTATTCGATACCTTTATTGAAGTTTGCTGGTAAATGTTTCTATCGAGTTTTACTTTCTTAAGAAAATCAATAAAAATTTGCTCTTTTTGGTTTGAAGGTTCATTCCCTAGTCGAGACTCCCGGCAAAACTCCAACGGGAGTCCCAAGTTTATGAAAAACTCCAGCAGGAATCGTAAGGAGTCCTGATGACTCTCGCAGGAACTTTCTAAAGTGAAAAGTCCAACATGAAGTCATGAGGAGTCCCAAAAAAATTCTTGCAAGAGTCCTGTCTAGAGTCCTGTTGGAGAAAATCATGCATGGACTCCTACAGAACTCCTCAGAGAGCAGAATTTTTTTCCTATGACTCCCATAAGAGAAAGTCTGTCAAGAGTCCCTAGAAATGTGTACTCCCCGGGAGGCACCCTCACACTCCCAACCTGTGCAATCCCCGAGGAGTCCCTGCCAACTCCCCATTCACCGTTTGTTTTGCAGATAGGCAATATATAAATATAATGTAGTTCTATGATAAAATTTTAAAAATTTTCTTCTAGTAAGTCAACGTTAATGTGTCAACCTTCGATGGGTGATATGTGCTTCAGCGGTACCAGTGATAGTATCTGGCACTTAATTACTAATTAGTTACATGAAATTAAGAAGATGGATCAATAGACCCACAGGGAGCCCCCAAGGACTTCCTTAAGAATCCCATAGAACTCCTGTGGGAGTCTTGAGGAATCCCTCTTGAATCCCTTAAAAATTCTCCATGGCTCCACAGAGGATCCTGCCGGGGCCCCGTGACAGGACTCCTGTACGACTTTGTTTTCCAGGACTCCTGCGAGAGATTAATCAGGAGTCTCGACTAGGGTTTGCATCGTGATGGTTAGGAGAGTTTAGTTCGCAATATTTGTGCGATATGTTCGAAGGCAAGTTAAACGAATTAGATAAATCTCATGCATGTTTATATGAACACCAATACAAAACACCGAGCACGAGTGGTACATTTCAAAGTTCAAGAATTGTGGGTCGAAATCTACTATCTCGTGTTGAACTGATACAATTTTTACTGGAATTGGGTATTCTTCGATATTATTTTATCGAGAAACAAAAATAAATTGCAAGTATAATAATAATATTAATTTTGTGAGTAATAAGACGAAAGAAAGAAGTTTACTTAACCTTTTTGTTTCTTTTGTTGAGGAAATGCAATGTATAGTATTATGGTGTGTGAGTTATGGTTCTCCAAGATTATGTGAACTTTTTCGACCCAAAACGTTTTCGATCTAAATTTTTTCGAAAAAAAGGGAATGTCAGTTTTAATTTTCCGAAAGGTAAGTCGGCCGACCTTCGAAATCGGCACTGCGCATTGAGTAAGATGAGCCGAAGAGTAGCGTAGGGAGCACGTTCCTTCTCTCAGAAAATTGTTTCATGGTCTGCCACGTACTTGTTAAGATTGAGAAAGCTGGCTGATCCAATTAGGAGGTAAAAGATCCTAGACAGTGACGGAAAGGAGATAAAATTTTGAAAACGCTCTTCTTTTTTCCTTAATTTTTTTGTACTGTTGTTTACGGTTATTTTGTTTCAGGTCGTTGATGGTGATGATTTTGTTATTTAATGTATGAAATTACCGATGTCGTTGTCGTCAGTTGTTCTATTTTGTACTGGTTTTGTTTATTAATAAAGATTTTTCGTTAACATTCAAAGTTTGTATTCATAGCAAATTATGACGATTCTGCAATATAACAGTTGATGATTGCTGAAAGCTTGAAAAAATAAAAGTTAATTCTCGGATTGGTTCGTATAAGATCCTACATTAAAAGTACACAGATTGCGGGTGTCTACTAACTTAAAATGAAAATTTTTAAATCTTTTTGACGATATGAAATGAAATAAGATGGCAGAGATGTTCAATCTGAATATAATATCGGCATGAATTCATGTTTACAACCAGCTGGTTTCAATGATCTTGTTGTTAACAATCAAAAACCTCATGAAGAAAGGTCAGCCGAAAAACGTCGTGTAGATCACCCTTTTCTCTTCATACAGTCTTTTCAGAATCCTAGAGACACATCACAAACTTACGTTTGAATAAATAAAACAACCGTCACTTTTTGTTTTTTAGCTTGTTCGTCTTCTTTCATTTGCAATAATGATATACAAATGAAATAATTGACAAAGGACATTGGGCTTCAACTGATCATGAAGAAAATGCATTTTCACCAAAACAGATCGATAAATGTAAATTAGATGCGGAAAACTATTCAGTAATGAAACGCAGTCGTGTAGTTGAAGTATTAAATTTAAGTGCAGACTTAAGTTGATGAATTAAGAATTTCTGTGAAACACCCTCCTGAACTGATGAAAGAAAATAAGTAAGGATTCACTGCGTAGTATCTAATTTTCAAATATACTAGTAAAAAAGCGCCATTGTTTCTAATACATGTGCTGGTGATGTACTACTCGCTTGTGACTCTCATTTTATCAAAGTTTCTGATTTTGAGCTTATGAAACTATACACAAAGTGCTTTTCCTCAGGTTTTTTCATAAATCCAGACAGATCTTTCAGAACAGTTTAATTTCAAAATCATTAGTTTCCTTTCAATTTTTGTGCTCACATTCCATTTCCTTATTAAGATAATCTTCAATTAAATTGAAGATTATCAAGGTTCTTAAAATATACTTTTATACACTTTTAAAATACTCTTTATGATTTTCAGCGACATCTATTTATTTTTGTTTCATCTTGGTCTGTTTCATCTTCCAATAAATCAAGCGCAGATTTAGTCAATCAATTAAAATTCAACCAAAAGAAAAAACAAAGCAAAGGAAAAGCTGCTATTATATATAAGAAACATGATCATTCCGAGATGGGGGGGTATCGCAGTAATTCATAGTTTGTCCGAAAAAAATGCAACAGAAAATTGTAAACCTTTTTTCAATCTAAATCAAAGCTTTTGTCCAATGATTTTATTTTCTTAAAAACCGAAAAGAGTCCATAAACTAAGCATTTTCGTCTGATCGTATATCATAAAAGATTTGTAAAAAGTTTTTCGCTTGTCAGTCGAATATGCATTTTTCAAATTACAGTATAGAATTCAGATTCGTTTATCTTCTTGCTTGCTAATTAGCCGCAAAAGTAGAAAGATAAAGCCATTCTGCAAACGATACTACATCGCTTAAATCAGCTCAGCGTCTAGTGAAAATTGCAAAAATTCTGTCGTAGTAAGTTCTGACTTACAGCTGCAATAGTACATTTGACAGAAGAAACATTCAGTAACTTATCGGTATTTTAGAGATTTATTTTCAGCTCTCGATCATGCCTTTTCGATTATCATTCCAGCAAGGTGACTAGTTTTATTCAAGTTCAAAACATCTTTTAACAATCTATATATTTTTTTCAGGTGTCAGTTGCCTTCGTATTCTTCAACGTGTGAACAATCAAAGCGTGATGAAACGCACCGTTACTTCGACAAGTAACATCGACAATACTGCTAACAAACAAAAAACAACAAATCCATCACAAACATCTCAAACTCAAAACAAAGAAAATACGACAAAGCGTAACACAGCCTCGACGTCGCAACCACCATCCGCGAAACAAGTAAATAGTAGTAGTAGTAGTAGTGCCACACAAAGGGACTCATCAAAACAAGAATCGAAACCGTCTCAACAGTCTGGTGATAAATCACAGAAAAAACGTGAGAAATATAAATAATACAAATGATTTTGAACATGATATTGAAAATCTCTTCGTTTTTCTATCAACAGAATCATTGAAACTCAACGATCGAGATGTGGTATTAATCGATGGAGTCCGTACACCGTTTTTACAAAGTTTTACATCATACAAAAATTTAATGGGTTATGAATTAGCAAGTCATGCATTATTGTAAGTTAGTTGGTATTTGGTACTTTCTGGAAACATTGGTATTTGTTTCTTTCTGGAAATCTTGGGAACGTTTATATTATTGTCTAATTTAGAGGATTAGTCAAACGAACAAAAATTGATAAATCATTACCAGAATATTGTATAATGGGTACAGTTATTCAAGAAGTTAAAACAAGCAATATTGCACGCGAAGTGAGTTGTTAATAATTTATTTATCATAATTTATCACGTTAATTGATTATAACAAAGACGCACAGTTCATTAATTTAACTTTCATTTCAGGCGTTATTGAGTAGTGGTTTTTCGGACAAAATACCCGCACACACCGTAACTATGGCCTGTATATCATCGAATGCAGCAATTGCTACTGGTCTGCGATTCAGCTAATTATTTTTTTATATAAGTTAGTTTTTTATTTCCTTTACGTGTTTTAGGAGTAGCTAATATTTCTTCTGGTCAAAATGATCTAGTAATTGCTGGTGGTGTGGATTTTATGTCCGATGTACCAATACGATATCCACGTTCAATGCGTAAGATCATGCTCAGTCTGAATCGTGCAAAATCATTACCGCAACGACTTGGACTTATGTCACAAATGATTTCATTTAAAAACTTTACACCAGAGGTAAGTTATAAAATCATTTTAGTAATAAAATATTCCTCTCTTTCAGTTCCCACTTTTCTTCTCAGTAAATAAATATATCCTCTCTTTCTAGGCACCATCTATTGCTGAATTTTCAACGGGTGAAATAATGGGACAATCTGCTGATCGTCTAGCAGCAGCATTTGATGTCTCGCGAAAAGATCAGGTTTGTTCATACGTTTATCTCATGCATTTGGACTTATCGTCGATATACTACTTAGGACGAATATGCCTTTCGATCACATAAACTAGCACAAGAAGCAACAGAAAAAGGCTATTTGGATGATGTTGTTCCATATCATGTCGCCGGTAATGTGATACGATTCTTTTTGAATTTCTACGTTATTAATAATAATTTTGTGTAATATAGGTGAAGCGGATGTAATCTCGAAAGACAATGGAATTCGTGTTTCAACATTAGAAAAAATGGGTTCATTAAAACCAGCATTTATCAAGCCACATGGAACAATTACAGCTGCGAATTCTTCATTTGTGGTAAATATTAAATTTTATTATTTTTTCGCTTGTCTGTTCTCATAAAGTATTTCTTTTTGTTCACAGACCGATGGTGCATCGGCGTCACTCAGTAAGAACAAGATTTATATTATGCTATCAGCTGTCTTTACATGAAAAAAGAGTTGTCTTTTTAGTTTCGTCAGTTGAAAAAGCAAAAGAACTTGGTTTAAAACCAAAAGCATATTTAAGGTGAGTATTTTCTAAAGTATAAATCATTCTTAGAAGAAAAGTATTTTGTATTTTTTCTTTAGACGTTATGTTTTTGTTTCACAAGATCCGAAAGATCAATTGCTTCTTGGGTGAGTAAAAATTAACAAATAGTTTTACCAACATTGTGTTTTGTTCTTTCTTTGTTTTTCAGTCCAGCTTATGCCACAGCTAAACTTCTTGATCAAACTGGTCTGACACTTGATGACATTGATGTGTTTGAATTTCATGAAGCATTTGCTGTAAGTTTCTTTTGTAGGAAAAGAGGCAAAAGTAAAGGACATGTTGACTCAACAGTTCTTATTTTTGTTAACTAGATAGATTCATACGAAGCCCAGCTAACGGGTGGGACAAAAGTTCTGTATTAATTTTGTTTTTGCTATAGCATTGCAGTGGAATATCGTAGAGATTTTATCCTTTTTGTTAGAAAGAGCGAAGTATCTAATACAAAAATATATAAAAGCGTTTGATCGGAGATGTTCCACGAAGGCCATCAAAATCTTAGAAGAAAAGGCATCAGGAAACTGTTCCGCAACAGTCACAATTTTTGTATCCAAATACATTTGTTTGAACTTTTTCATTACCCACTTTCGATGTTTTTGAGTACCATATATACGAAGTTGTTCATTACAACGAAGGCTTTCGTATGATATTAAAAAAGTTGGCCTTGAGTACAAAAGACTGAACAGAAGATCGTTTGATTAAAAAAACTCAATTTGACGTGTACAACGCGAAAACAAGTTTTTGTCCTAATATCTCACGGAGCAGCTATTCCAATAATATCGTTTGGTAGAGGACTCAGTAAGCTTTCTTTTTGATATAAAATATATAGTTTCTGGCAACTTCACTCTGGGAGTAGAATTTCTTTTTTCCGATTGCGATCGATAGTGATGAAAAATCGGTAGTAACATAGAATGTTATAAAAGCGCTCATTTCAAGCATTATAAAACACGTAGAAAATTTCTTTTTTGTGTAGTAATAGTGCCCTATCCCTAGATTATAAAACTCGAAATAAAAAGATAACCTTTCTTATTGGGTGGAATATTTTCTGAATTCGAAAAGATTGCGGAACAGTTTCCTGATGCCTTTTCTTCTAAGATTTTTATAGTCTTCGTGAAACATCTCCGATCAAACGCTTTTATATATTTTTGTATTAGATGCTTCGCTCTTCCTAACAAAAAGGATAAAATCTCTACGATATTCCATCGCAACGCTATATCAAAAACAAAATTAATACAGAACTTTTACCCCACCCGTCAAATTTAAATCTTTGTGTACTACTTTTTACTTATTTCATACGCGAGCTCCGTACAGACTCAAATTTTCAGTTCAGTTTAGTCCGTAGGCTTGAACTTTCGAGACGAATCCAGATCGAGTGCATTAGAGATTCATTTTCTAGTTCATAGACTGGACAGTTAGAGTCCAGTTTAGTTCACAAAATTTCATCCCGATAAAGTGTATCAACTCAAATTTTAAGACTTGTACTAACTTTCGCCTTCGTTTTCGTTCAGTCGTAAACTGGTCGTTATAGATGATCAGTGTAGAACCGCGTGTATTTGAAAAAAAGTCTATATGCAGGCGCTCATTTATGATTCCTTACGAGTTTCAGAGCTGCAGTCGCCTTTAACAGTACAAAAAAATAACACGTTTCCTATGTGTTGTTTTTCTTCCCGCAAGCGAGTTCTAAAAATTGATTTTCAGTCTAGTTCATATAGAGCTCTATTTCATCCTTTTGTATCTTCCGCCAAGTATAATGCAATTTACAAATCTCTTTTTGTCCTCAATTTAGGGTCAAATTCTTGCCAATTTAAATGCATTAAATTCAGATTACTTTGCAAAAAAATATTTAAATCGTTCAGGAAAGGTATATTATGTAACTAAAGTGCAAACGTATTAGGTTATCATCTCTTTTTTTAATACATTGTTTAGGTTGGCGCTATTCCGATGGATAAATTTAATTTATGGGGTGGTTCATTATCGATTGGCCATCCATTTGGCGCTACAGGAGTTCGTTTAGTGACAACAACGGCCAATCGTCTAATACGGGAAGATAAACGTCTAGGACTGGTGGCCGCCTGTGCCGCTGGTGGACTGGTTAGTACAACTTCAAAAAATTTGATATGGGATTTATATATTGTTTTTATTTTTTTATAGGGACATGCAATGCTTGTTGAACGATATTAGTAACAAAGTTCGAATTATTTAGTTTTATTTCTGATTTTTAAGGATCAAACGGATATTACAGAGGAACATGATTTTTTTATCTAATTTTATCTTCTTTGATCCTTAAGTATTATACTTCTGTTTTAATTTTGTCTTTCATGTTTTCTTTTTTTCTGCTGTAATTTATGTTCGTGTTTACTGCTAGAAAAATTTTGGTTAGACTATGTAATGAAATCCACCGCCATTATAATTCATTCATTCGATCGTATAACGTTTATTTTTTTATCATTTGTTGTAAAACATCTTTATAATAAAAGTGAAAATTATTTTCTCTATTCATATTAATTTGTATGTCGGTAAACAACTAATAATACAAAAGTGAGCATTATTAATTAAAAGAAAAAGTAAATGTACTATAATCGAAACGTTAATAGCGATAATTGGAATGAAAGTTTGTGACATGTACACTGTGAGACGTTGATGTGTTAAATTTCTGTGACTTTTATAAAGAATTAGGTTTTGATAGAAATCACGTGTTAGAATGTATATTTTTTATATCTCTATTGTTCGAGTTTTCGCTGAATATTGTTAGATAAATTTAAAATTTGACTGAACATTCTTGTAAAACTTAAACTTAAGTCATTCAGAATTAAATGGGAAAAATTTTATTTTTATTTTGGCTACATCATAGTCATCCGGTTAAATTACAATATACATAGGAATATTGAACAAATTTTTTATATCAATTTATTTATAATAAATTATTCTTTAATTATTATCCGTACGCTTTTTACATGCCATAGTCCTAACGATCATCCGACCAACTAGCCAACATAACAAAAACAGAGATAGTCATTTAATCACAGAACGGTTCAATATTCTCAATTAAAAATAACTTTTGAAAACAATCAAAAATTTTTAAATATCTGGGTTTTCTTTTAAATGCAAAACTAAGCTTTCATTACATGCTCGATTTCCAGTTCACTATGTTGAGAAGTTCTTACGTTCTTCTAAAATATATTCATAGACAATTTCCTTCCTTCTTTTCTCTTCAATTAAAATTTTTTCAATACATATATATGGCCCCATTTGTATTTGTTAGCAACTATATATTGTTTATTTTGTGTTACAACAAAAAATCATATCAATACATTCTACAGGAGGCGTTTATAAATGATTTTTTGTTTATTTCACTGTTCAACAATAGATCTTCATGAAGTATTTTGCTTATCCACACTTTAGAATCAAAATATCGGAAATATCTTATAAAAAGATTAAGGAGGATACAATAGTACGAATCAAATTTTTTAGAAAAAGTCCTTCTAAATAAGCATGTGATCAATGAAGTTTACACTCACTACTGTGAAACTTCCTTCATCTGAGACATGCCAGTGGGAAGACCTAGTAAACGATTGGTGAAGTTTTTCTCTTCTGATCCAAACACCGCGTGATAAGTTGTGTAGTTTTGTGATGTTTAGTAAATAGAAGAAATAGCAGGAAGGTACCAGCTTCTTTTAGGGTGTTCGGGAGTATATACTCGTAAAACATTTTATATGTACTATTATCTACGATATGTTCTTAATTATATCGGTATCTGTTTTTCACAATCTGTCGTTTTACATTCAATAAGTTTAAATTATTTAAATGTACATAATTTGTGTATTGACACTGTTTACTTCTTTTAATGATTTGCTCATAATCTAAAAATTTGTGAATCGGACAGGACCTAAGCGGTCAATCCGACAACTTGTCCTTTCTACTCTTTCTTACTAAAGAAAAGCTCTTTACAACAACAACAACAACATCATCCGGTCTCTGTTAAGTTTAATATTTTTGTACAATATGTATTGTGCTAAGATAGAGTTATTTTATAAAAATAAACAGCAAACCATTTTTGCAGAGGGAGTAAAAAATGTTTTACCTTCTAAAGTATTTGGGATAAGGCGTAAAAAAGAAGATAAGAAGAACCAAACTTCACTAAAATTTAAAGTTCTATACAAAAATTATATTAATCTACTAAGGTTGTTATAATTGTTTTTAATGTTAATAAGATGTTTTTTTTCTAAGTGAAACAATTTGTTTAATAGCATATATTTTGTATATATGACTGTGTAAAAAGAACGAAGAAAAAAAGGAAAAGAAAAATGAAAGTGAGACTTCGTGTATCCGTTGCCAAGTTTCGAAACAAACACACGGTGGCCCTCAATCAAATAAGAAGAAAAAGTTAAAATATATTTTCTACGGATGAAGGTGATGTATCATTGTAAAATGTGGTTAACATAACTCAGTTATTAAAAATGGCTAATGCCCAAGAAACAAAAAAAATTTTAACTCACGATCAACTATGGGATGTATTAGTTGATCTACCAAGTGAATTTTCAACACCATCAAATGTCCAACGTTTTCGAAATTATACATCACCTGATGTTAGTAATCAACGTACACATCCGGGTAGAGCTAATGATCCTAATCGACGAGAAATGACACATGGTGTCAAACTAATTGAATCTGAACATAGTGGAACACTAATTAATCCAAAAAAGAAAACAAATTATGAACAACGTCAATTTAATGCAAATGAATTAGTTTATGAACGAAATCGTACTAAACTAAAACAAGACCAAGCATTGCCAAAAACAATTGATAAATATGAGACAACATTTGGTATTAAAACAATATCAGGCGAACGTGTAGGTGATATTGTTAATCCAAAAATTTCTCAACCACTAATTGAATATGATTATGAACAACCACGTGGCATGTAAGAACTTATTTCATTTTATTTTAACTTAGCTTACTGAGACCTGAATTTTTCATGTAAGATTATCTTAGTGTAGATATGTTAGTGCATGTATTTCACAGGTTATTTTGAAACATTCAAAAGTTACGGAACGAAATATACTTTCATCCGCTTCAAAGACATAGTATAAAGAACTCGTTTTTTTTAAGAATGTTTGAAGGAAAACAAGATAAATTAGTTGGGCTTATAGAAGGCTGATAAGACTTCTCGGTTTCCAGTAGCTGTCTCGTGTAGTTTATAATTTTCGATTGTGGAATTCATTCATTTACTAGTTATCCAACCACATCTCGGGACAGAATCGATTCAAACAAGAGAATAGTACAGCATCCACAGATGCGTCTATAGAGTGATCTATAAAGATATGTATTTCGTAGTCTTAAAGTTATTTTTTATTACAAAAAGCTTTTTAATTCAGTAAAACAGCTATATATTCGTTCAGAATAATTCTTATTGATTATTCAACGAACATAACGAGACATATTGATTTTACAAAACATGTGTTCAATATGTATGTCTCCGGTCTCAATCACTATTTGTAGATCTTAAGATGTATATAAGTTGTAAATTCATTTTTTTTTTGTTTAGGTATTTGTTAAGTCATAAATCATTTGAACCAGGCGAACAATTAAATCGTAATTATATATCTGGTGATGTTATTCGTCAACAAACATTTGGTTTACCTACTCCAGTATATAAAGATGGTCGATTTGCTCGTGCATCATTAAATTGGATTGATAAAAGTAAATCTGTACCAATTATATCACAAACCGTTCATGAATATGATGAATCAAGATCAGATGATTCTAATATACGTATGAAACGTTTTCTTGAACAAACTCATCTTGATCCAAATCATCGTTTTGGTCTCATGACATCAACTGATAGATTATCGGCCGGTGAAGTTATTCATCAACGTCCACAATTACAGGAACAAATTGTCTATCCAAATCATAATATAAGCACCATGTTTGATGATAAAGAATTAACGGCAATAGCCAAAGTTCGTGCACATTTATGTTCATTAAATATGCATACCTTCAAAACACAATTACAAGCATTTCAGTTTTATGATGAAAATCAAGATGGTTATATTTCTCAACGTGAATTATCATCGACAATTGAAAAAAATTTTAATCTTAATTTAAATGAATCTGTTATATCGGCCGTAATGCGTTATTGTGATTTTGATCATGATGGTCAATTAAATTTTCTTGAATTTAGTAATTTTCTTTGTTATCGAGTTGCTCATGCATCCGGTTTAGAAAAATTAATTGAAAATAATTTAGATGTGAAAAAACAAATTAATAATGCATCATTACATGAAAAATTAGTTACAGTTTTAAAAGATTCCTATGGTCGAAATTTATTATTTTTAACAGATATAGAAGAAAAAACGGGTAAATATTATGTAAGAAAATTGGTAACACAAATGGATGAAATGGTACCCGACGGATGGAAAACAAGTTATGATAAAATAAACGAAGCTCCATTTCGTTCTGAACCACAAGTAAAACGTGTTTATGGTTTACCATCAATTGATAATAATCAACATGATTATTCAATATCAAAAAATAGAAATAAGCATCAATTGGGAGCGAATACTATTGTCGGTTCTCTCTTGTCACCATCAATTTGGAGTGAACGTGGCCTAACAGAAAATGATCTTTTAAAACCAAAAACAATGGAAGAAATTCGTGATATATTTGCAGCAGCTCAGATTCCAGTTAGCAGTGATGATTTTGTTTATGCATGGACAAAAGCTAGCGAAGAAAATTCAGGACATGTGAGTTTTGCCACATTTAAAGATGCATTAGATCTAAAAAATCGTAAATTAGGAAATTATCAATTAGTTTATACGTAATTATACAATTTGACTCATCTTAACAGAGAATTTGTAACGAACAGTAATATCATACGCATAGATAAGAATTATAAATTATTGTTTTTTTATCTCATCGAAGAAATAATATCTATCTGAAATGGTTATAAAATTCTATTTTTTACTTTTTTTTTTTTTAATCTATACTGATCATATACATTAGGTCGATTATCGGATCTGCCTCGTCAAGTCCTTCCATGACTAGTAATGAGTCTTCTTTAAATTGATAATTTTTATTTTTATCTTGTTTCATCGATCTTGTTCATGCATCACGGTTGTTTTTATTAAAATGAGTTCAAACAAACAAACAAACAAATAGATTCTTAAATGTTTCTAATATTTTTGATTGACTTTAGACTCTTTGATTTTTTCCAATGTCTGTCTTATTCCGTATTAATTATTTTTACTTTAACGAACAATGTTCCTGATGTTGGCTCATTATAACGATTGAGAAGCCGAATATGTCTATAACCTTAAGATAAATTAAAAAGAAAATATATCAGAATATTTTAATAATTAATTATTATTTCTTTCTTTTACCTTGTTGAATAGATAAAAACGGTATACAATATTGACCAAGTAATTCTGTTTCATCTTTAACAGTAAATCGAATAAGACATAATTCGGGAATACAAACAGTAAAATTCATATTGTGATGCCATAATGGATTTAAACCTAAATCAAAATAATTTTTACTCTTATGATTAAATTATTTTATTTCTGAGAATGAGTTTTAGTACATGATATAGCACTACCATTTAAACTTCTCTAACTTTATCAACTATTACTCATTAAGAATAAGTGTTTACCATTATTTCTTATGATATTTGTTTTTTGCTCATTTCTATCACACCGTACACCATAACTTTTAACTTTAACATATGGCGATACTGGTAATGTATCTTTATTTCGTTTGGGTAAGGCTTGGGCACTAATTACCTTAAAATGAAAGAAATTTTTTATTGATAGAATTAAATAATAACTAAATTGCTTACTATGATTTCAAATTTGACCGGACGTCTTTGAGCGAGTAAAAATGCCGAAAAACAACCCATCGGATTAAATGTTGTTTCCGCTACTCATGTGAAAAAACAAACAGATTCGATACACATAATTTCGTATAATAAAACAGTTTAATTATGCATAATTACCGTTACAATTTTAGATTGTATTATGTAAAGTCACGAGCTATGTATAAAATAGTTACAGGATAGTTTCCATATGGATAAAAAAGGTCTTACGCATAAACACGCATAGATCTCTTTTATATATAGGGTTCTATAAAGTATGCATAATTATTTTTTGAAAAATTAGATAAAACTATATGCATAGGGACTGTTTGACGTTTTTACACGGGATAATAAAAAGGAAAGCTAAACGAATAGATGTATGATTTTAATATTTAAAATTTTACCTTGTCGAAGAATATCCGGTTTTAAAACATATCCACATCTACCATTGGTACTAAATTTTCCTTGATTCAGAGACATTGATAAATCATTTGTTTGAAAATTTAATGCCACCATATGTGCGCCCACATTCCAAAACTCGATGGCATTTACATTACTTGAATTTTGTCGAAATGATGCCGGATATACTCGTGTCAATAAACGTTGATTATATTTAATAAAATCTAGTGGCTGATCTTCAATAAGAGAAGTGGCCCTTGTTTCGGATAATGATGATGATTGATTGTAATTATCTATTAAAAATTAGATTTAAACAAAAAATAAATAGTAAAACATCAATAATTCTACACTTACAGCCTTTTGAATGTCCAAAACCTTTAAATGTAACATTTTCACAATAAATAAATTTAGCTAAATCACTACATATACACTAAATGGAAATTATAAGAAAATGAACAGTAAATTTAGACAGGAGACGAAAAACATTGCTTTAATATTTGTGCTCCATTGTATAGTAGGAGATCTAGAAGCGATCTTGAGAATACCGCCGATTTTCAAAATTTTCTCCAGTTAACTTAGAGAGCATAACAATTTATGCTATTCTAAACAAACAAAACATTATAAAAAATAATCGTAAATTCATTTTGGTAAAGCGTAAGAGAGAATCTCTTAGACTTTATTAATAATGCTAGAGATTGAGATCATTTTTAGATCATCAAGGTAAGTTTGATCGATATTATCAGATATAAAACTATCATATTGTAGAAAATGTTAAAATATACTGAACTTTGCTCGTATCTCTGTAGAATAGTGGATATTTTAAGAAACATGACCAAAGATCAGTTACTCAAAGTAGAATTTGTGAATGGTAGTATTGGTACGTCAAAATAAAAATAAAAAACGGTATCAGACACAACTTCTTGAGGACTATCGTACTCCTGAAATGAGATGAAGCTTTAGAAATCGGAGGATATCTTTTGAGATCTTATGAGTGTACTGTTTTCAAAGAAAAAAATAAGAACAGATACAAACTGCAACGTCATCATCAAATTGTTCATCTTCACTATAATCCAATGATAAATTATTTTTTGGAGCAACTCTTGCCTAGAACAATAAGTAGTTTTCTGTTTATTAAATACTTTGTCAAAAATTGAAAAATATACTCGAATAATTATTTGTCCTTTCAATTGTTCAGGCGATGGCCATATTGTTGATTTCGAATTACTACCCAAATAAATAGAATCTAAAAATAAAATTTAAATTAGAATTAGTTTTTTGATTGGAAAAAAGATTAATTAAAAATATAACCAACTTCCAAATGTGTCATATAATAGTTTAGCTATTATAATTTGTTGACGTAGTGAACAATGATTTTCAATATTTAAAAATAATGGATATCTAAAAATAAATATATTTTCTTTTAAATAGAAATGAATACATTACTTTTTGAAGAATACGAACGGGGATAAGAAAAATGCATATTCTCGAATAAGTATAAGTATCTCGTCAAGATAAATATCTTTCACCAATGTGTATCCATGTCGTACTACAGGTTTTCCATCTTGACCATCGTGTACGTCCACTAGAGAGCAATAATTAAAAAATAATTTATAAATAATTTTTTCTTTTCAGAAATGACTTACATTCAACAGATTTACATCCATGTTTCAATGCTCTTACGTACATCTCAGCACTAGATTCACCCAAAACCTGATTTGCACATAAATATCTGAAAAAATATGAGATAGAGTAGAATCTAGAAAGATAATAATATATTTTGAGAAAAATCGTACGTATTATGTGAGGCATTAATCCAATATTCTGTTAATGGTCGAGTCATATCTTGATAAACTGTATGTTTATGTACGGGATTCATTAATTCGTTTACATCTGATAATAACATTTCTCTAAGACCTGACAGTATAAAATAACATTCTATTGATGGAAATAGAGAAAAACTCTTATATAACTAACCGTCAACTCCCATTTCCATACATTTCTTTCCTTCTATAGAAGGATCAAATTTATGAATTAATTCTTGAATTTGTTCAACTGAATATTGTTCCTTAAATCAAAAATTGAATTAATTTGACATATAGACTAAAAATAGTAATTACTTGTTGTTCATCTTGCATAAATTCTCTTAATTCTTCAACAGTTAGATAATTTGAAGCTTGACATTGTGCTGGTGGTCCATTTACTATTTTTCTTGGTAATGTATTGTGTTTAAATGATGGATCCACATATGAGAACGTATGCGATAATTGAGAAATTGTTGCATAAGCATTACAATTACATATATCCTCAGTTCCATTATATCTAAATAAAATTAGAAAAAAGAAAACATTTTTAGTTTTTAATTCATTCGAATTAAAATCTATCTACTTATGTATTATGTGATTCAACTCTGGTCTATACGTTAATAATTTATAAAAATTAATGAATTCATCCACATTTAATTGTTCACGACGTTTTGCTTTTCGAAGTACTGTTTGCTGTTTTCAAATACATATAAGACATGCATTAGAACATAAATAGAAAATTTTCAAATATCATTACTTCAAAATATTGTTCAACATCATCGGCACATAGACGAACATTCATTCTTTCTAATAATAAATGAACTTCTCGTTTACATAAGAGACCGTTACGGTTTAAATCAGCTTCACCAAACAAATTTTCAACCCATCTAAATAATGAACAATCAATAAAAACTTATGATTAAATAATATAACTCATCTTCTACGATAATTTGATACAATGTGTGTAACAAAAACAACAAAAATTTATTCGTTATAATATTGAGGAAGTAGCAGATGGATTAGAAATAATGAGAAAATTTTGTGACTCATTTTAAGTTACTTCAATCAGATTTTAAAATTTTATTTTAGACTTCAAATATAAAGAATATTTTGCTCTACAAAATCTTGTATATCCGATATTTAGACGATGTTTGAGTATTTGAAAAATGGCACAGAGAGTAAGGATAAGCAAAAAGTTTAATCGCGATAAAGGAACAGATTATGCCTTTTTTTGGTACTCAACTGATTATATAATAGTTTTTGACTCACGTATTTTGTGTAAAGAAAGTGTCTTCATTGAATTAATTCTTATCTACGAAAAATAAAATATTCCTTTCGTTTTGTTAGTAATTCTAAATGATCTGAAAATGATAGTGTTTTTGTATCGAACTTTATACGGTATACTGTGGGATACTAAAAATTCTTCTCTGGCATGAGAAACAGAGAATTGTTTGCTCTATAAAAACCAAGTTCACACCTCTGGTGTGAAACTTCCTCGCCTCGCCCGCCCCCGTGAACTAGTTTTTTTAAGCAGCTCCGGTCCGTTCGTGAATTTTTTTGTGCTACCCCGCCCCGCCCCTCCCGTGTCTCGTGACGGTAGTCGCCCTAACTTGACCCGCCCACCCCTCAGTTTCGCGACGGGTCCCGCTCCGTCCCCTGGCAACCCGTGAAACTTTTATTAATCACGAAATTTGATTTTATTCGTCTGCTCTGCATCGGACATCAAGTTTTCTCAATAGAAAAATCGTTTGATTTTTGAGTCCGAAAAAAGGACTTAATTGTACAAAAACCTTTTAGAATAAATCTCCAGAAAGATATCAATGAACTGAGTTAGCCACAGAGAAATTTGATGATTATGATTGGTCTTTCTCATATTTGTATGAGTTTAATAGATTAGCTGATCTATTTGTTTATGTGCCAGTAGGATTACAAGAAATATATGTTGCAAATCTTTCAGTGACGTGATGGCGATGACTTTCATCTATTACCGCAACAGTGGCAAATAGTCTATCATAGAGATAGTTTTGCAGTATTTGTTCTGTGATTTTACACAATTGTATTTTCTCCGGTTCCTCTTTTGCGAAGATTAGATAGCCTATGTATTCTACATAGTTCACATCATCAATTGAGCCTTAAAGAAGTAGCTGCAAGCAATTGAGTACCAATGAGCAGTTTTTATTGAGATCGTTAGATCTGAGGGTTCATCTGATAATAATTCATAACTTTGGACGTTGGATATTGATAAAGATGAGGACTATGTCAGATATTGATTCTAAGAATCAAATGAACTGTAATCACTTTCTCACGTATTGATCAGTGTTCAGTATGAAAAAAGATGTGGAACAAATAAATCACGAGTCAAATCGCTTTCTGTAGATCAAAAATAAGAGACTAGCCGTCAATATGCATTGCTTCCTAGATGCATAAAAGAATCAAATCTCTTAATAGTTTTTCACGATCCGAAACAGCCTCAAAGAAAACTTTTATATCCCGCCCGTCCGAGCCCCCGTATATTCCATTTCACTGCTTTACCCACCCCAGATCGCCCGTGTGTCTACATTACCCGTACCCCGCCCGAACCCGTGCAGACCTTCAAGATTCTTGCCTCGCCCGCCCGTCATCACGTGGCCCCGCGGGTCGAAATCCGTGGACCGTACACCTCTGTTTCACACTCACGTCGTATTCCTTGGCTAAGTTTTTTTCTCGAATATGACATCCACTACATAAAACGATAATTTTTCTTGCACATTAAAATTTTTTAGTTTTGATGCTGTATGAATAAGTAGTCTAATAAAAAAGATAGCCCTGAATTCACTGAACATCTCTATATCCAATCTTATATATACTTTAATTCGAGATAAGATCGAAAGATAGGGCTTTTCATACTTGTCTGTAATTCTTCTGTACGATTCACCATTTCGATCTTGAAGTAAGTATTGTATGCCTTCAATCCAAATATTTCTTGTTTCACTATCGCTAGCTAAAAGATCTAAACTTTTTCTTCCACGACTATGTAGAATTGATAATGATAATCCTTCCTAGAAGAAATAAATTATTTGACATAATATAAAAAACTTGATTAATATAAATGATGATACCTGTTGTTCTCGCACTTTGCCATTTCGTAACATTTTAAACCAGGTATCCGTTTTAAAACCCGATCTTACTTCGACACAATCTTTAATTAGATCTAAATGGGAATATATTAAAAATAAAAGATAGAAACTATTTGTTTTCAATTTCATACGTACATTCTACTTCTGAATTTTGTAGAAGTTTTTTGGATCCAGTATATCGTATAGCATTGAGTTTTGGACATAAATAAAAATAACGTTCACCTCGCGTTCCATCAGCATTAAATTTAATAAACAATGCTCCTTCTTGAAGTTGAGATAGGACTGAATTTTTATCAACCATACTTAAATTTGACTCAACTAAAATTATTGAAAACAGTCGTTGTTCATGATCTTCTATCAAATTTTCACAAAAGAAGGCGTTATGTTTCGAAAATTACTGACAAAAAAACAGTAGGAACGTACTTGATGTTACTCGTCGTTTATTCTCGTTTTCTATCCTAGATAAGAAAAAATAAAAGCTAATAATGTTCAAAAATCAATATTGACCTACGTGCATGACATGATAGAATACAAAACTGATCAAATTAGTTTAATAAAAAGCATAAGTCATAAGTTGTTGTTTTTTGTACCTAAAACCTGCTGGTATACTATTTTTTTTTTTCTCTTTTTTTGTGAAAGAAGTATATCACAGCTTCTATGCACTTTGAGGGCTTTCTTTTTGGTTTTGAACTCTATTTCTTTCTAACATTAAATATCTAGATTATATAATTGTTTTCACAAAAAAAAGATGAACGTTATCTGGGAACGCATTTCACCGGAACAAAAAAGAAAAAAATACAGTTGATTTTGAGTTACTGAAAACTGCCTTTTCGTATTCAGTACACTCGATAACTCTGAAAATTTTCTACTTTTGGCGAGAGATACTTCCAAAAGTTTAGGAAAAAATTTTGAAACAAAATGGCACAAAATAATTTCCATGAGAAAATAATGTTAATTTGAAAATTTTTTCTAAATGTTTGGAAGTATCTCTCACCAAAAGTAGAAAATCTTCGGAGTTATCGAGTGTACTGAATATGAAAAGGCAGTTTTCAGCACTTGTACATCAACTTTATTATTTTTCCGGTGATATGATTCTTGTAAGATTTCTTTTAATTCTTTTTATTTTTTAGAGAAACTCTCGGACTTGAAGAACATACAATAACAAACTACGAGTTTCGCTGAAACGTGTATTTTAATCTTAACGTCGAAACGAGAAAAGTGTTACTGTAAAACGTATGATGTTCATTAAGAATTAGAAATAGTTCAAGATATACAAAAATTTGATTCATAGATATAACATTTAAGAGAGCCTTCGATTCCGGAAAACCGACCTAGATAAAAAATAAAAAATATTATGTTAAATTGGCTTGGGGTACCTTTCACGAGCTTGTCTGACTTTTTTTTAAAAAAATCTATTTTCAATATTTAGAAGAAAAGAATTTTTATCAAGTTTCGACATGACTAGCCACGATTGAGTCATGTGCAATTTTTAAGCACAAAACTAAAAAGATTTATTTGTAAAAAGTAAGAGAACAATGTATTTTTCCATATATAATATCCATTTTCCAGCCATTTTTACAAAATCAAATTTTTTTTCTACTAATATGAATTGATGACGTTAAAAAAGTACAACAATAACTTTCGATGCTCTATTCAACGATATGTAAATTATTGCATTTAGTCAATGGATCAAAGTTGAGGTAAAAACCAGTAGGAGATTGATCTCAAATACAGTACTTGTCGTAAAACGCGTGTAAAATCATAAAAAAACATCGCAAAGAGCTTGCCGACGTCGTATTTTGTAGGAAAATGTTTGCTAGCTCTACATCTGTAATAACTCAAATGCAAATTTAAATATAAGAAATTTTTTAGTTTTCTATTATTTAGTCCTAGATAGTTAAATATATTATTATGTCTAAATATACGAACTTATAGAATAAACATCCCTCTTTCAAATGAGCCGTGAACCAATCATAGGAGTTTGATAATTTTTGAGAAAACAGAAAAATACGAACATTCATGAAAATTCACGTCTTTTGGTAACAAGAGTGACTCTCAATGTTTGACCTCTAGTGCTTTAAAAAGCACTTTCAGTGGTTATTTTGTGTGCTCTTTCGAATGAACCCATAAATAAAAATAAAATAAAATTTACCTTCGGACAATATGGTAGGTGCTGTGACAGAACTTCTTTTAACTGTGTCAGAAGCAAACACCTTAGAAAATTTTTACATGATTGAGCGGAGGTTTCTTTCTTTTATACTCTTTCTTTTTTACAACTTTAAGTACACAGTTCTCTTTCTCAAATTCTAGAAAATAGTCTGATTATTCATGCATCATCCTTTATGAGAATTTAATACATCTAGTTTTTATCTATGTAAGTTTAACTGTCGAGGACATTTTACAAGATTATTTTGACGGACATAAACGAAGCATAAAAATACTTCGTGTATACGGTTAACCAGTTTGCGACAGGCCGTAATGTTGAAAGCTTTATTCATTTTTATTCGAAGAAAATAATTTACTAGATTTTCAAAAATACAGAAAAAACGAAATTGATTAAGAAGACATAATTTCAACCAATAATTAGCTAACTAGAAGATCAATTATTAAACAAAATGACTTCAATGATCGACAGAGTAACATCTACAGAAATCCAGATATTATTGAAAGATAAATACGTTGTATTTTTAGGAGATTCGGATAAGTTTATAATTTTAGTTGTTGTTGTTTTTTAAACTAGCTTCTTACAAAATGAAAATATGATTATTTCTTTCTTGTGGTACGAGGAATATACAAGGATATGGTACAATTTTGACAAACAGATCGTTTACTAGATCAATGTACAAGCAAAAGTATTGAATTAAAAAAATGAGTACTCAAATTTAAATTATTATTCTATTTATTTTTAAGGGAGAATTTGCAAATGATTGTTGAAAAGATGGTGGTGAACTAAACGTTCTAACAAATGGAATTAGTTATGAAGAAGGTAGTAAGAAAATATTAACTTATCATTGAGACTATATGTTCACTTTTATTTTCTATAAGGTTTGAGAATATTCATTTCGTGGACAACATTATTTACGCTATTATTTTCTAACACAATATTCTTCTGTATATTTAAAATGTGTCATTTTAAAACAAATTGGAAAAAAAGTGATACAACCCGATATTGTTATTATGAATTCATGTCTATGGGATATTAGTCGGTACTGGTGATATTCAGTGTGCAGAAGAACTTGATATTATTGTTTCTGAATTTTTCTTGGAAAGGACCTCACATCTCAGAACCGTATTTTAGATTTTTTGTGCTTATTTTAGTTGAAAATTCAATAGTGCAGACAATACAATCATCGACGAGATTACCATGTCATTTCAATAATAATAAACGAACATCCATTCTACAAAAAAATGGATTTAACACCATTACCACCAAAGCCACAACAACAACAATATTCACAATGTTCGTTTGAATTGCAAAAAACTGTCGACATTACCCTTATTATTAGAAGATTTATCCAAAGTTCGTCGTCAACAGCAGAATCCATATAGACATGATAATAATTTATCTGATCCTTTGTTGTTGATGCATAATATACTTTCGAAATTAAATGGAAAGCCAGTAGATGATTCATAAACCGATAGTATAACAAGTCTGATATTGTTGTTGTTAATCAGCGTAATAATGAAAATTATTTTCGAGAATACAATAATGACGATGATTTCGTTCGAATAAATTTAACTTCGTATATTCATTCTGTTAATGATAATTTTAGTGAAAGAAATTATGAGAAAGCCGAACAAAATGATTTATCGTCTGATAATGATAACTTATCTTTCTCGTTCAATCATCTAAATGAAAATGAAATTTCTAATTCGATTAATGAACATTCAACAATAAGTGACAAAACTAAGCGTGTATTAACAGATGAAAATACTAAAAAGCTTGTCAGCGTTGCGTCTACGAAACAAAAATGTAAAAACTTTCTATTGAACTGTTGGACTATAACATAGAACATGTATAAATAGACGGAAGTTAAATAAGAATAGTAGCGCGCGAGAGAAACTTCTAATTAATAGCTTTTTTTCGGTTCATATGGAATACGTTTATAAAAATATTCTCTGAGAATTTCTTTTTTAACCTATTCTTCTCCTAAGCAATAAGCTATTGATAGGGAATTGATAGGGGAAATGGAAGCTAGGGAATGAAAAATCTAAATGAATTCTAAGAGAACTTTCAGCACTACCACGACTTTCCGGCTTTCTCATTAGAAAATTTGGTACTTGCTCCGCGCTGAACCAAATTGGATAAAAATTGGGCGCCAGATGCAAAATTTGTTGGTGAATCCGACAGCGGGCTCCTTATAATTACATATTCACTCGATATGTAATTTGTAAACTTTTTCGCGTCGATATAAGCAACGTGGTTATTGCCTAAATTTTATTTTTCTCATTGGTTGAAAAAAAGGCGCCAATGAGAAAAATAAAATTTAGGCAAAAACCACGTCGACGCGAAAAAAGAAGTGGATATGTAATTATAAGGAGCCCGCTGTCGGATTCATCAACAAATTTTGCGCCTGCCGCCCAATTTTTATCCGATTTGGTTCAGCTCGGAGCAAGCATCAAATTTTCTAATGCTCCGGGTCATGGTGGTGAGAGTATTGTGCGTAAAAAAGAAATGAAAACAGTAAAAATACTGTTATTATCATTCGTCAGTATCTTTTTGAAACAGAGCTATTAATAATCAATAAATAAGAGTGTTAAATGATGAATAACAACTACTCATCAATTACCGTTATATTCATCGCTGCGATTGAATAACGAAACATTCATATATTTAGCATCTCCGCACCAGTTTTATCCTCGTTTATACCTTTACACTAATTTCAGGTGTATCTGTATAGAACGTTATTTCTTTTTAAAGAACAAAATAAGGAAAGCCAGAATTTTCTATTTTTATTGACATGTTTATTTATTCTATGTTGAAAAGAAGCAGTGCTGGCTGTGAATTTATTCTATATTCTCTCCATTTCACGAATTAAAACAAAAGTAACTTTCTATATTAATCTGAAGTATACAAATTGTATTATATATTAATGTGTTTTCGAACGTCTCTTTTAGTTTTTAACATTTTTTTTTTTGTGGATTGAGCCGTTTATTTGTCACGCTTGAAAGCGCTTGTAGAGATGAATATAAAAAAAAAAATGGACATATTTATCAACCTGGATACAATAAAAATAAACAACACATAGCAGTATCACAACATGATTTAAATCTCCATTCAGTTTTACTAGCTATAAATAA